GAAGGTTGTGAGTAGTGAAAATTCATGATCAAGTTTTATTTGCCAGAAACCACTTCTCGTGTCAAGGGTGGAGAATACTGTGGCATTGAACATACGTGATGCAACATCTTCAACCGTCCTCGTAGGATGATGGGGTTGTTTAAGGGCTTTATTGAGATCCCTCGGGTCTATGCAGATGCAAATACTGCTATCTTTCTTCTTCACTGCTACCATTTGTGAGACCCACTCGGTTTGGACAGGGGTGTGATTGCTCCAATCTTGACCATCCTATCAAGCTCTCTTTTAACACTCTCCACCATTGTAAGGGGTATTCTGCACGACGGTCTAATCACAGGGGTTACATTGGCATCAAGCCTCATTTTGTAAACAACGGCTTTATTGCCAAGATTGCCTTGGAATAAGTCTTTGTACTCATAAAGTATTGCTGCGCGGAAGGCATCAGTGGTATCAACCTCATGGACCATGCTGTGCAACTGAATGAGATTCAAGCTTAAAGAGTCCATGAGACCAAGCAATGGTGTTACCAGTTAGTCAATGACGTGAAATTCCAGGTTACAGGACATCGACTGTAAATGAACTTCGAGCTTCACACTGCCCAGGGTAGTTAACATGTCTCCGCCATAGGCAACCAACTGCACTGCTTTCATCCTATCAATCTTCTCATTGCGGCTGATCCTTTTGAATATATTGAGTGTGATCACATTACATTTGGCGCCAGTGTCAATTATAATTTCAACTGGTTGGCCATTGATTTCCATTGTGCAGAAAATTTCACTTTTCTTTCCCGGCTTGGATGTAATTGCATCGATAATGAATAAATCCTCATCTTGTCCGATAGGATATTGTGGATTGACCGTTTGGACAGAACGCCTAGGACGCCGTTGAGGATCTTGAGTGTTTGGATGCCCACCATCATGTTTATAACGGCAAACTTTTTCAAAATGATTGGGCTTTCCGCAATGAAGACATTTCTTGCCAAACGCTGGACATGATTTCTGCTTGGCTGCATGGTTACCACCACAATTTTGACAATTTTCGATACTAGGTTTGGAATCTTTCTTCGATAAACCCCCTTTGTCGACACCATGGACCTCTTCCTTTGGATCACTGACTTGGTTCGACGAGAGCTCGGTGTTGTTTCTGTCTGATAATTCGTTGGCAATGCCAATGTCAGTAGCGCGATTGAGTGTGAGATCCCGTTCTTTTAAGAGTTGCTTTCGAACGTGCCGAGAGCTGACACCACATACAATTTTATCACGAATAAGCTCATCCTTCAAAATGCCATACTCACATGTATTTGCTAGGATTCTGAGATCAGCTACAAATGACTGAAATGATTCCCCTTCTTTCTCGATTCGGGTGTTGAATTTGTGCCTTTCCATAATGACATTTCCACGAGGGTCGCAAAATTTCAGCAAATTTTCTTTTCAGCACTTCGATACTCTCGCAAGATTCTGCTTCATCTCGAACGGTTCCATCTTCGCTCAGTACAGCGTAAATAAAAGATTTCTCCTTTTCAATCGCTTCTCTTCCTGCCAAATTCAAGAAGATGTACGCTTTGGTTCTGTCATCCTTTTCTCCGTGAGCGGTGGCGATGAATATTTCCACCTCTTGGGCGAAATGTTTCCAGTTTGGCACGACACTACCCTTGAAGCTCAATGGTTCGGGTTTTCGGAGACCATCTGCCGTAATTGACTGTTAGATTGTCAGAGAGACCAGGTAATGCGGATTCCCTTTACTCCTGACACCAGTTTTCAAGAGATGACCTTTACTCATCGAGTCCATTTATTCAACTAACAGATAAAATCATGTTATGAAACTGATTTGCATTACTCACACACATTCCACGCACATTCCACACCCACACATTAACATGCTCATTCCACAGTATTGAGTCTGACTGCTTGTTTAACGAAACACTTATTATTCTAATGTACTCTATCACCTTTATTTGTATTTAATCTCAAAAAACAGCTAGCACCTCTACTTGACAATGGAGTCAAGATGACTTCAAAACGTCATAGTTTTATTCTTTTAATATTCATTGTCAAATGTATTTCAAAATGTTCTCAAATATTCTTAAAAATGGGAATTTTTAGCAGAGATTTTCTTAAAGGCTTGTGGTATGGAAACTCTCCAAATTTTCCTGAAGACTTCTTGGCAGCAAGTTAAACTGCAAATTAATGAGAATATTTTGAGGCGACACAGTGGTTCTTTGGTTTTGAAACAGTAATCCTTGCGCAGTTAAAAGAGGTGAACTTATGTCTCTCGTAAAGAGATGAAACGTTTTCTGTAACTGACTTTTTCCACCAAAAACAAACTCAGGCGTTGGGAAGGGTAACATGACAATAAATGTGTGACAAGGCAACTTCCAAACTCTGCAGATCTCATGGAATCTTATAAAATTTATACAGTTTTCCATGCATGTGTCTGGTTGTTTCAAGTCTCAAGTTAGTTAGTGCTGTTTACCTTTAACGTCTTCTCATTATTAATGGGTTCTGAAATCGATATTAATTTGAAGGGGTTTCGTGGAATATCAAAACTGAAAAAATCTATGATCATTGCTGGCAACAGAATAAAACTACCCTACTGCGTGACGATGTTATAATTAAATTGGTTCTTGTTATAAAATGAGTCAGAAAAGCTATACAGAAACAACACTAATCTGCAGTTTACCATTACTTGGATTAGCTACTATTACAGACATCACATGATGTTTAGCTGTCTTGCTGGTAACAGTTCTGTATAGTTCTAATAAACAAAGCCACTGACCGACTGGTAAAAAAGTAGGCTTGATATCACATTTCCTAAAGTGCAAATTCTTAAGGTGGCTCCCTACAGTATCAACAACATCTACCCCTATAGAAGGATGAAGAACTAAAAATGATTTTTTTGTTTCACCTTTGGGTTTAAGCTCCTGGCATTTGCACTAAAGATTAGCAAGACACCAAGGGTTTTGTTTTCGTTTATACAAGTGCATCGCAGACTGTTGCCATGGCAACAACGAATCGTAAATATAACCATTTTTTGCTATTTTACACCTATTTGCTTCCCTTTCTGAAGTTACCTTCTTTAAACTACATCTCGAAACTCGGCAGTCTTGTGAAAACGATTTTGGACAATACTTTAATTTGCAAAAGTGAAAAGTTAATCTTGTGGATTCTTAAAAATTTTACAATTTCCTATTTTTGATTAAAAAAGAGAAATCCTGAGATAAAATTTTGTTTCAAAATGATATTGTAAAGTAGGCTTTTATATCATGAAGTATACAAACTTTCACAAAATTTCACCAAAGGAAACATGAGAAAAGTGAGCATGGTTTTTCTTCGTTTGCTTCTTTGTGACGCCATAGAATTTCGAGATGACCATGTGCGCATGCGTATCAATGGCCCACTGCCGTCAGTGGCGTGTTCTAACAACAAGGTAAATTGTTTTGAGCTCTTATGTCCTACCTAAAAGCTATTTTTGGAAATATTATGACATATGTTTAGAGATGGAAATTTAAGCGAAGGAAATCTTACCCTATGGACAGCTAGCACATTGGATATGAGCAACGACGGCTGCTAAAATTCGGTCAGTGCGAGTAACTCATGGTGATCTTGATGTTGCACATGATGGTGGTCTCGACAAAATTGCGATGACTCCTTCTTGCCTGTAATGGCTGTACACGTTCTTCAAATCTTCATATGCCAAACCACTCCCGGCAATTTCTTCTGCTATGCTTTTCGTTATGGCGCCATCGTTTCTTTCTGGATTGTATGGCTTACCACGGAAGGATTGCAATATTTTGTGGCGACCATCAAGATAACCAAGTCCTCGAATGCATGATTTGTGTCGGCGAGTGACGAGTTTTCTACGATGGTCTTATTTGACATTTCCAATTTTGAAGAAAAGAGAATATTTCTTCAGGCAAGAACATCTTCCAAGGCATCGTGTGCCTCGAAGGTTTGATTAAACAGGGTCTTGTAGAGAGAGGGCTGATTAGTCTTCGGAAATGTGCCATTAGCATTCCATAAAGCAGTAAGTTGACTTTTAAAGAGGTCTTTGAACAGAGAAAGAGAATCAGCAAACTAGACATTCATAGATTGCAGCTTTGAAGGGAATTCCTTTCCAACATTTCTTAAAAGAACTGGAGTGTCGAACGTGGAGGCATTGTGTCCAATGAGAACCATAGGGACTTGTTTGTTGGTGGTGTTCTTGGCTATGTTTATGGACTGTGAGAGATAGCCCTTAAATTGAGCAATCGCAGTATCAAAAGGTATAGCTCTTACAACTTTCTCATCCTTGTACAGTTTACGCTCTCCGTTGAACTTTACTATTTTTAGTTTATTGACTTTTGAAGCATGCAAATTGATGTCCTGTGTGGGCATAATGTAGACTGAGAACTTGTGTGAAGCAGATTTGTTAGTTACTGATAGTTGCCAGATTTCGGCAGATTTACCAGTTGCATTTGTTTCGGTGTCAAAAATCAAGAAGTTGTAGAATATGTTATCGTCGTAGTTAACTTGTTTTGCTACAGGCCTAAGGGTAATCTTGGGCGCAAAGTTCTCAATGTCTTTAAACTGGTTTGGTAGCATTGCCATTACACATGCTTGACAATAGGTAGTAGTAGAGGACATGATAGATGTCAAGTCAAAGTTTAGGCCAATACCTGTTTCATAAACTTTGCCCTCTTGAGCTTCTTTCCTGGCTGTCTGTGAACACTTTTGGGAATTAAGTTGAGATCTTCTGTGTTTAAAATCCACAGTTGATTTTCTGATTTTATCATGAAGAACTTTGGTTGTCATTCTGTCATTATACTCTGTGCAGTATTTTCCAGGCTTGATATTGAGTGCTTCAAGGGTTTGGCTAACATATCCATATCTTAAGTTAGTTTGTGCAACTTTGCACGCTACACGAAAGTCATTGTTTTTGCTATCTGCATAGAACTTGATTTTTGGATATTTCGAACCAACTACACTGTTTAGAGCTTCGTTCCTTTGTGAATTTGTCACGGGGGCTAATTTGTCAGCCACTGCATCAGTAATCACCGAATATGTTTTCAAGGGCAGATCTCAATTTGTCTCCAAACAAGTCTTTCCCATATGGAAGGTCATGATGTTTATATGAAGCTGGATCTTGCTTGAATTTACACCACTTATTGTCACAGTTTTTATGGTCACCAAATGCATGGGGAACAATGCAGTTAATGGTTGCCTTGATTGCTCTTGCATTTCCTTTGTTCTGTGCAACACCATAGGAGAAACATTTTACCAGGTAATTTATTACCTTTTGCAACAAGATGGAGCTATCAGGAAATTTTGCATTCTGGCTTAAATTATATAATCGTGTAGTTAAGGATTTCTTCATATGTATTATATCACTACACTCCATACCTCCATAGGAGACTTTCTGTCGAATGTGAGCCTCAGTTGTGGAGTGGTCATCTCCAGTATAAAAGGCATACTTCACTTTCTTTGGGGGGGCATTGTTAAACATCTCCAAAGCTGAGGCATGCTCCATTGCCGTTGATGAAGCATTGTGATTTTTGTGACAATCATGGACTTTAATTTTTTTGTTGCTATTTTCCCCGTGGTCACAGAATCTGCAAGTCTTGGTTCATGTAATGTAATCCAAAACTTCACCAGTTGTAAGGTTCATTACTGCTGCATGACCAGTATGTTAATTATGGCCTTTGTCCCTCTTCTGCCAGCCCATGTCAAATGAGCAAGGAACTGAAACCAAATTATCCTTATCTAGGTGGAAGCCATCATTAAGGATTTGTGCCTTCTCATTGCTTAGTGCCTCTTGACAGCTTGCTGTGGCTACAGTTTCAATGATTTTACCTACTTCCCTTTCTCTCCGTTTAAATGTGGAAGAATTGATAGTTGGAATGTTACTAGTTGACAGTACATTGTCGATGTTCATTTGCCCTATCCCAGCAGGCAGACAACCCAAAGTAACTCTGGTGTTTATATCAAAAGGTGAAGGTCCACGCTTGCCACTTTTTTGTTCCCCAGAAGTTTAAATCTCATTGGTTTTGCCACAAAATGAGCAGGGTATCAAGAATGTACCGGCTAGGCCATGTTGAATCTCATTCTTCACATTGCAAAATGACAGTGGACCTAAGTGTGTTAATAAAAAAACTTAACTTGGAACTATAGTACTTTTGTGGTGGGATAATAAGAGATACATTACACCATGGCTAAATTTGGTTTGTGCAAAGCTTAGTTTCTCCACTTAAATAATTCTGAAAAAATAATGTAATCAAAAGCTTTGAACAATACTGTATTGTATACCAACTTTTAGACATAGGAAAAAAACTATGAAATGGGTTTCCTGTAATTTAAAATTAAATAAATCTCTGTAGGGGCTTCTGAAGATGTTTAGATGTTTATGCTTGTAAACAATGTTGCCTTATTTCTGTTTTGTCTTCTTTTTTGGGGGGGGGATGGTATTTGCGTTCATTGTTAAGAGGGCGATTAGATTCGGAAATTCAAAAAGAAGTGAATTAAAAAAGTTGAGGAAAGAAAATGCTTTTCCTATATAAATTGTGCTTGTTATCATCTAGATCTTCTAATGTTACCTGAATGGCAAAAGTGACACTGTTTGATATTTTGATGGAAGACGTCTAGATCAATAAGGCGGGTTCCATGTGGAACAGACTCTTCTTGTAACATGGCAGCCTATGAAGAAGTTCATCACATGCGATTTAGATTTACTGACTTCCGAACTCGATTTATACTTTTTGCATGAACAAGAGCAATGCTTGAAGAATTGTACTTTACCTTTGCACCTCTTGTCTGACATTTGGAAGGTGGCTTGTTTTCATCTGTGGCGCTTTCAAGGACAAGTTTCCTTTTAGCACTCCAAGATTTTGACGCCTCTCTCATGGGGCCAATGTTCTTTTGTTGTTTCATTTTTTTAAAGCACTCATTCGTGCACTGTCAGCTTGTTGGACAACCTGCTGTTCGAACTGGGGAGTTACATCCTGGCTTATTCCAGATTTAGCGGGATTTCATTTGAGTTTGAGTTTGCTCCACAAACACCACCAAAGACTGCAAATACATGAGGTAACAAACTGTGCTGTTTCGCCCCATCCAAGTAATTTGCGTGACTATTGGACAAATCAATTGAAGCTACAGCAAACCTCTTATGTTTCTCTTTTGTATTAAGTACAGAAGGGCAGTGTCTTCTGTTTACTCGATAAATGTTTTGAAACTGGAAGAGACTCACGTAACTGCTCTGAAATTTTTTTTTACAAATTTGGACACCATGTTTGTTGACATTTTATTGCGTGATCTCGCGCACGACTTTTGCATAGATTTTTTAGAGCTCAGGCCATTGCGATTTCGAAACCAGTTCATGTGTGGTCAAAAAACTATAAGGAGCCACCTTAAGTTGTTTTCTTATCTGCTGTACATGTTGGATTAAGCTTATCATAACTGTCAAGATTCCACCGAGGGCTGGTAACTCCAAGGGTGTTTAATTCACAAAAAAAACTTAAGCACACCTTGTGTGCTTATGTTTGAAGTATAATTACCAAACCTAATTTTTGTATGTTTGTCTTTCTTACCTGCTCCTTTTTTCTTTCATCTACTTTCCTAACAGCCTCAGATGAACATGCATCATTTGCATCTGTGTATAGATACACAGCTGGAAATTTTTGTCAAGAGCACACAGGTCCCAGATGTTGTGTTGCAAGTGCAATCACTGCCCTTTTTCAGATAATTTCCACTTTTTCAAGCTATATTCTAACAAAAAAGAAGATGGTGTTCACTATGTTTTCTACATGTAGGAAAACAATGCCCTTTTGAGTTCTAGAAAAACTGCTGAATGCACTCTTGTTCTGCTTGTGCTTCCACTAGCAATTTTTCTAAACCTCAAATGTGCATTATTTTCTTAGAGAATATGGAAAACCATCTTCTATTAATTTTGTCAATTAAAGTCAAGGTTATAGTAATACTTCTAACCTCTCTTTTAGCCTTTGCAACAAAGCATTCATCAGTCTTTTCAAATGCTTCTTTCAAAGCCAATGTTGGGTCAGTATCGATGTTTTTGTTTCTTGCCAGATGACAATGAAGGTGGGTGGCAGCATAACTGGAAGCATCAACTCCACTATGGCCATCATAAACAGCAAAGAAGGCCTGATTCGTGTACTCCTTAAAATGGAAAAAATTGAAGTTATAAATCCAGATCTACTAAGATCCAGTAGTTCGATTGACATTTTTAAACGGCATTTAAAAACAGATCTTTTTAAACAAGCTTTTTAACTCTTTTAATTTTTAGATGATTTTTTAAAATTTTTTTTTCCCCTTCCCTTTTTTAGCTTTTTAAATATTTTTTTATTTAAGGTAAAGCACCATGGACAAATAGTGGATTGGCGCTATATAAATATTTTATTATTATTATTATTATTATTATTAAATCATATTCTGAAGTACTTAGTCACTGCAAAGTGATTTTACGCTGTGAAATTTGTTGTTCATGGTTTATGTCCACGAATCTATTTTACAGTTAAGCTGTATTGTTGCAGATACCATAGGAACCACAGCAAGTGTCCATATTTTTATGGTGTCACTACGCGGCAAGTTAATGAAGAGTAAATGTATGAGTTATTCAGGACCAAAATCACAATCTTCAAACTAAGTATAATAATTCATGACACAAAATGGAAGTAATTAACTGGCTTGTTGAATGTAATAACCTGTCTGACTTGCTTGTAATCTTCCTAGTTTTGATCATTTTCATGTTTGTGTACTTGCTTGCTCTTTCCTGGATTACATGCTGGGTATCTTCAAAAGTCCTTGAATCAATGTCTTCAATCCGTAAAAGGTTGATCTCAACTCCTTGAACATTAAACTGCATCTGCTACATCTTGCTGAGCTCCAAAAAAATCATTTTGAAGAGAAGCGCGTAGAATTAAAAACATGTAGAATAAAAAAAACCCCAACAATTTGGCTTCTCCTCTTCAGTTTTGAAACAGGCCCAACTCTAGTCGAATTTGTTAAGCCAGCAAGTACATTTTACTTTTCATTTGGGTGGCTGAAAAATAGTTTCAGTTGAGTGAAAACGTCTTTGTTTGAATGGAAAACCATTGCCCGTCAAAATCCAGGAACACTGAAAGTTTTTTTGGTGACTTTCTAAACAATTTCTTTTTAATTGTATTAAAAACACTTTTTATTTTGCACAGTGGCGCCTAAGTAAGCTCATGCTTCTACCAGAAAACTTGTATGTTTTGCCCAAGATCGACACAGGGATTTAGTTGCTGGCAAGGGCTTCATTTTGTGGTAGAAATATACGGCTTCTTTTTGCGTACAGCTTCTACAGCAGTAATACAATCATGTCAAGTTTGTTTTTGTACAGTGAAACTGGTAAATGCTTGCAAAAAAACTGCTAAAATTTTAAGAACCAAACACAGCGTTTTTGAGTTGTACAGGGCTATTGTTAGTTGTAGAAAGAAATTTGATTGGGGCAGATTTTGATCACCTGCTAGGTAACCATGTCTGAACGATGAACAGGTATCACAAAATCAACAAAACAACAATATAATTTATAACTTTTGTCGAGCTTCATCTAAACACTTTTATTTCACACGTCCCCAAAATTTACTCGTTTCAAAATTCGTTTTCAAAAATTTAGTTGGCGGACGGCTTGCCTGGGTTCTTGCCCATGGGGCAAATGAGGAGATAAAGTTATTTGCACGAATGGAAAATGCACTTGCCCCAGACGAGCAGACAGTGGTTTTTTCAAGCCCTGTGGAGGTGTTCAAGAATTACTTGGTGTCTGATATAGAAAATCTGAACAGCATATAGCCCTAGGAGATGTGTGTTAACAACAAAACAATATTAATTTTACATTGTACAGTACTCAGAACCACACATGTAGATTTATTTCCATCTACCAATATCTAAAAAAATATATTATTTGAAGGATAATAAAATAAAAGAGCCTCAGGCTTGTCCATAACTTGTTCCTGAAAACTAATACTTATATAATATCCATGACTAAAATGGATCAAACAAATGTTCAGTCTACTGACTGAATGTGTCATCCAATATCAAAATAATGGCACAACTTTATCACATGTCCAGCATTACTATCTAGAGAAGAGAGTTACCTGTGGAAATCCAAACATATTGTTATACTGAGGAAAGATAACATGTTTATCCTCCATTTTCCTCCTTGTGTTTTTAATGGCATGAACATATGATTCATACAGCATCTTTGATCTATAAAAGCATGGAGGTTCTCTGTCCCACTGCTTGCAAACCTCTATAACTTTGTTTATAACATCTTTGGCAATTTTGGGGGCATCAAGCACTGGTAAAAGGAGAAAATACTGTTGAATAGTTGAATCAATAGCATATATTTATCATTTTACCCATGCTGTGACTAGTGTTGGGAATCAGTTGAGATTTTGTATTCAATAGTAAGCCTGTAACAGAGCACCTGTACTTTCCCATTGATAATAGTGTTCAATGCTACATGAGTTTTCTGGGAATTTTTCCTGCATCAAGCAAAATCAACTTTTGAGTTTGTTTAAATTTTCAATCAATGTTCAATAATTATAATTATAATTGATGATCGGCACACCACTAATTAAGTACCTTAATTTTATCACTACCAGTATTTGTTTGCTATTAAAATTATTTCTTAGAACTGTAATTTCAGTATAAATTTATATCTTTTTCTCTCAGTCTTTTACGGTCATTTTAGAAAAGACAGAGCTACATATAATACTACAGCCATACATGCACATGACACATACTATCTATAGCCCTGAACATTCCTAGACCAAAAACATCTAAAAAAGATATAAGCATATCTGAGTACTCAACAACTTACAAGTATCCTCTGATTCATCAGTTCTGTAGGTAGAAAGATCTCTTTCAGTGATTTGCTTCACAGCAGCATGAGTGAGAAGCGCTGTGATAATTTCTGGAGCTTCACTAAAAGATTTAATTAAGAAAAAAGAAACTCATACAGTCATTTAAATATGTTCCTATTACAGCATGGCATTGTCCCTGCATTCTGCATGACTCAGGCTGAGGGACTCTATCACTTTTGTTCAATTAAGAGGTAATCATTTGTGTAGGTCCCTATCAAGTGGTTCTCAGTTGATTCAACCATTTGTGATTACTATTTTTGAGTGTATGTTATGGGCGGGTTGATGGATGAGTGAGTGAGTGAGTACGCGAGTGGGTGACTGAGTGAAGTATGTATGTATGGCACACCAATCAGATTGGGCTACTATAAACAACCAATCAAATTGTCACTTGTAAAAGTGAATCATGTTTGTGAAGATTTCATCCTGATTTTAGAATGGCCATCTTTGTTTTTCTATAAACAGAAACAGGTATAAGTTTTGGCCTTATTCCGACATTTCTGATGCTGTGTTTACTGTGGTTAAGCCCAGGACTTAGTAGAGGGGTTTCAAAAGATTTCAAAATTTGATAATCAGCTGAGGAATCATAGTCTTTGGTATACACAAACATGTCATCAAGGCTTTGCCTTGATGACCTTTGTGAATGCAAGTCTCAATTAAGAAGCGCCGTTTACAGAGTAATACTGTCTTCTTGTTAAAACGTTTCTTGGAATCAATACTGAGATATTCATCTCTGTCAAACCCAACAAATTATCAACAGCTAGTTATGAATGGGAACACTGCTGGAGTTTTGAAATTTGTTTTAGCTACAGGTAAATGTAACAAGATATTAAATGGTAACTTGACACTTTTGTTTTTCATGCACAAGTAGTTTCAATTAAAACTGACGAATCAGTGACTCTTGTTCACATGGTCGGAATAAACAAACAAGAAGCCAATCTAGCGGCATGTCTCTTCAGAGGCATTTTAATATCTTACATTAATGGTAATTGAAGGTTTTCGTGCAAAAAGGGTGTATGTGACATTTTGGGCTGATTTTTATTTTTTGCAGGATCGAGCTAATTTTGGCAGACTGACTTGTTTTGACATGAAAAGCATCATTGCATAATTGTTTTTGTTGATTTGTGCTTCGTTTTCGAGAAATAACGTATGCAAAAAAACTTAGTTTTCCAAGCAGCATCTATTGGAGTGAATCCTTCCAAGGTGGATTTTGACACAGTGCCAACTTAAACGGTTACTTTTAGCAGCTTTGACAGCACGGTATTTTTTAAATAGATGTTTTGATTTTTGAAAGAAGTAGAGAAATAGACCGGAAAAAAAATTGACAGACGTCGTATCGAACCAGTGTCACGACAAAACAAACTTGCATCCAGCCAGTTCAGTGCCTTATTCACTTGCGCTAACGAAGCAACAGTATGAGAAACGCGTAATTAGATGAATAATAAAACTAGTCAGTCTGCCAAAAATTAGCTCAATCCTGCAAAAAATAAAAATCAGCCCAAAATGTCACATACACCCTTTTTGCACGAAAGCCTTCAATTCTTAAAAACCGAAAGTTAGCAGAGATTTTCTTAAAGGTTAGTTTTATGGAAACTCTTTAATTTTATGTTTGAAACTTTCATTTTACATATTTTTCTTGTAATTATTCGATGTTCCGGAATGTTCTGGAATGTTCCTTGTTCTGAGTTTTATCGACACCCGGCTTGATATCACATATCCTAAGGTGAAATAAATGCTAATTTTTTTTCGCTGTACATCGTAACCTAACAAACTTGTTCAATTAATCTTATCATAACTGTTAAGAAGAGTCCACCGAGGCTGCTACATCCAGGGGCTTTTAATTCACAAAAAATAACTCTTGCACGCCTTGCATGCCTATGTTAATTCTTGTGTGTTGTATAGTTATTTCTATGGTGCTAATTATTGGGAGTGTCAACAAAGAATTGCATTATACATAATATTACGTAAATTGTGTCATTGAACTGCAATTAATGAATAGTGTCATTATCTCTCTACATTCCAGTAAATCTCTCTTGATTCCACTTAAAAAGAAGGAGTATTAAAGCGCCACTTAATGATCCTCTTTCAAGGCCTGGTCTGAGCTGCCACTAACGATACTACATTTAGGAAATAACACACTGGCTGTGGGTAAAATTTGGGTGGCAGGGAAGGACGACTTGGGAGTAGGGGCCTAGGAAGGGGCCCCTCCTGGGGGAGTACAGATCAGGTGTTGCCGGGGGTAGTCACCCTGGAATAAAAGTTCCAGACCTGCCTCCAGGGGTGAGGCCCACATCCCACAGTCCCGGGAGACTGAGGGAACCAGGAGGGGGAGCCCCTCCTAGGGGTGTACAGATCAGGTGGTACCGGGGGTAGCCACCTTGGAATAGGTAATTTCTCCGGACCTGTCTCCAGTGGGAACACGTTTTTCTATTACATTGAAGACCACATGCAAAAATTCAGCTAATTTGGTGCAAGAAAAAAGAAAAGCAACCAAAATCGTCACTTATCCCCTTTTATGACTAGCTTCTTCAGATGTAGATAACAGTGGCCTTACTTAGGAAATGAAAGGTTTGTTGTGATATCTAAAGGGGGTGATTGTTTTCAACTGGGAATCCCTGATGGACCTTGAGATCAGGAATTGGTGGCATGTTACTCATGTTACTGGGATTTACCTATGAGCGTGACAAGAGGTTCATAGTGTTACATGTCTCTGAAATAAAGTGTTACAATGCAGAATGTGTGTACCTGTCTTTGTCTCTAAGGTCTCATTAACATCAGTTTATGGATACCATAAACTTAAACTAACCCCAAACAAGAAGATCTGTTCAATCTTATAACTGTGCTCCTAATATTTAACTGTTTTCTTAGCACTACATTTGCAACACATTGCACATTCCAAAGCAATCCTTAATGATTCATTGATTACTGTAGACACCACATCACTTGATCAACACAAACTGTATTATTGCACCATCAGTCGTAGCCATTGTGGAATCTCTGATGACGTAATGTTCTTGATCTGGAACTTTCTTCGGGATATGTATGGGCATGAAGATACAAACACTATTAACAACAGCTTTCTTTCTTTAAAGTCACAATTAAGTTGAATTGTTTTTTCCCTTAAGTAAAGGGCTAGCAAAGAAGTCACATGAGTCACATAATTCAAGAATTGCCTTATCCACAGCTATCATTAGTACAGTGGTTATTTCCCTACCAATGACGTAATCCTTGCATGTTCTGACATGTTCTTTTCTTGGCTTGCAAACATTTAATTTTCCTTCTGATCTATGAACTTGCTGTGATGAAACAGCCAAAGAATTTACTTCATTTGCCCAAAACCTCAAGAAATACTCTCTAAATTGAAAATAAATTAATGACTGTCGCTTTTGGCAAAATCAACTTGCAAAGTAAACACGATCTTATTTGTCACCTAGTGAAATTGAAAGCTGCAACGTCAGCGCATTCCATGGCTGACGTAATACTTTTTTTAGCGTATTTATTATTCCCTTTGAATCAAACACTTTGATAAAACCAAAAGAAAATATAGTTTACCCGCAACAAAGAAAACAATACCCGTAAAATTGTCCTTGTATTAATGTTTTAACAGCTGCTGGCGGAAAAACATCACACGTTGCGTGACTTAAAATTTGGCCCAGAGGGAGCTTGGGGCTGGTCACTGACAAAACTCAAAAAAAAAAAAGAAAAACCAAGGGTAGAACATGAACCGCACTCGGCCCATGGCTGTGCGGTTAAAAACATTTTTCCTTAAATAAAATCTACTAGTTTCCTCAACTACTTCAGCAAAAAATAACCTTGATTGACAAAATCCCTGCATTTCTACAGGCGTTTGAACTTGTAACTTGTAATTTCTATGTTCACGACTGTGCAAAGTGGAATCTGGGTCGGGCTACTAGTGACGTCGTGAACATGGAAAAGGCTAATTTTACAAACTTTGAAAATCCATTGGAAATTAATGAAAATAGCCACAACAATAATTTTCTTGCAGTGATGATCAGGAAAAGGAGATTTATATTTAGTGAAAAACAATTTTTGAAGTGGCACTTTAAAAAAATTCTCAAACTTCATCTAGTTGGTGATCATGTTAGACTGCAAAACAGTCGTATTTTTTGCGAACGCGAGCAACGGTCAATACTGGATCGAAAGGTCTGGAACAAGTGTAAAAACGGCGAGGACGAATGGGGAGAGGCACTAAAAAATACGACTGTCTGCCATGCATGTGTTAAATTCGTTCAAAATTACCTGTTCTTCCAGCAACGGGAAATTCCCACTGGTTTAATTCTGACACAACCTGTCATCAAATGTCACTCACACCTCATCAAAAAGATATAGACACTGTTTCAGTTTCACAGTAAAGACAGTAATTCTCGCAGGAAAATGGATGACGTTGACTTGGATGCGCTTCTGAGCGATTTAGCAGCGGTCCACTCATAAAAATTATCATTTTACTTTCAGTATGAACGGCTAGCTCACTAAATACATTGACAACATTCCTTGAAATTTATAACTGAAGATGGGCAGGTCGGGTTTCTCAACGGCCATTCACATGCATGAATGACCCTGTGAGCAAGCAAATATACACACAAATTATTTCTGCATGTATTTGTCTTCTAAACCTTATAATTTTGTAAGGTCATAAGTTACAAGTTTTATAGGACTTTATAGGATTAAGTATTGTTCAGTCTTTAACACCAAGAAAAACAGGAAAAATATGTGCAGAAATTATTTGTTTGTGTGTAGATTAGCATGCTCTCAGGGTCATGCATGCGAATGGCCGTTGAAAACCCCGACAAATGTCTTCATTTATAGATTTCAAGAAATATTTAATGCCAAGGTATTTAGTGAGCTAGCCGTATATACCGAAAGTAAAATGATAATTTTTACGAGTGGACCGCTGCAAGGTTTCACTTTTTCAGGTAAATTTTGCACACAGTTGCCAACGAGACGTCCATCAAAACTTAGGTTTTGTCTAGACCCGTTTGCGCTGAAGGTCGCGTGTGACTGAAAGATTCACCACTGGAAGACAGGGGTGGAGCTGTCAAGCAATTTCTGTCACCTCAGTGACATTATACGATCCCCACTTAGAACAAATTCATTGTATGAAAAGCCGACAGTCGTTTTCTTACCTCAAACACCCTACGGGCATGTGAGGCTCACGCGCTTCACATGTGTATCAATCAGCTAAACTCAAGAAAGACGGGACAACAGAAGTCCGGCAAGAAAACACAAGCACAGGCTTTATTTCAAGTGAAGTCCACATGGAACTGANAATTTAGATAGCGTTATAAAAGCTTATTAACACCTTATTTGTTGAATATATCGCAAATGAATCCTCGGTATAATGAAAAGTGTCTTTAGAAATATGTCTGGCCTCTGTTTCCAGTAGCGAACGCAGGAAGGAACGCTGCGTAAATCTTTTTTTCTTTTTTTTCGGGAGAGATCTAAGAATAGATTATTACAGCTCCCTGCAACACTTGACAATTAGCGAATGCAGGCCAACTGATCATGATTATTTGATTTCATGTCAGTCAAAAATTTTCTTTGAGAACTGCCGGACGCTATCGTCTATTACAAAACAGCGCTACACACGCTAAATGCAAAAAAAAAGGTTGAAGACTAGAACGAATGCGCCAAACAGACAACGTTAGGCCTCTACAGAAAGCATGCTTAGCTATGTTTGGCACATCATCGATCAGTTCGTGTTCTTCTTCATCAGGTATTCACGAGTTGTCTAATAATGGCAAGTTATATATACTTGCACGAGTGATTTAACCCAAGCACAGATGATAAACAACGTCTACGACACATGTGCAAATTAGAATCTGAACCAGATCCCAGGGCAATAATCGTTTTCAAGCTCGAAGTAAAACGTTGATACTAATCAAACAAACCTTGCGGGCCAAGGGCAGGTATAGGCACTTACCTGAAAAACAGTGACGCCGCTGCGCTTAACGCCAACCACGAGATGACACCTCAACTGGACAAAGGACGAGAAAGAAAAACAACGAGGAGACTTCGACCTTTTTTATGCTCTGAGCAAGCATGTGTACAACCATACGTCAACCGACAGCCGCGCCTTCTATCAGAAATGACAATTAAAGGCGGACGACATTCGGGGTGTTCCTTCTTGTATTTGCTGAATAGGTGCAGCAGTTTTGGGGCAATTGTTTCAAACCCGGTTCAATCATACAACGACATGACAAACGCAGAAAAAAATGTATGTTTAAATAATCGGCCCACGCAGTTCATACGTAAAGCAATTGAAGCAAATCATAGCGAATCAGTTAAAATGGCTTAGAGAGCACGATGAAAGCTAAAGAATCACGTAGAAATCAACTAAGGTTCTCAGCATTTGTTACCAGATTCAGATCTATCAGTCCAAAAAGGTTTATTCGTTACAAAGTCTTTTGTCTAATTCTTTATTCGTGACGTAGTACCTTGAAGTGCGGGAAGAAAAGTGGAAGAACGCAAAGGCGTGGGAAACGATTGAGACCTCAAGGTTGGAACAGAAAAAACGGACATAAACGCACCAGAGAGCCGGCCACGCACAATTAGTTACGTCTAGTTTATTATTCGTATTTACACCTTGTTACAAAATTTTCACGACTCGTCATTGTAAACCATTTTATGCCTTATATATCTAGGTTTCGCTACTCTTACGTACTAAGTCTATAACTTTATTTCTGATATGGGTGATGGTAAATGTCTAATTTTTAAAGTTTGTCAATCGTAATCCGTACCAATCTATTCAATATTTCCGCCATTCTCATTACTTTCCTTTGGTTAGCAGTATACCCCGGAAGACTATTATTTTGAGGTCTACTGCTTCGATAAGAGGCTGAGGAAATTTCACTGTACGTCACAAATAAATAGTTGAATTTTACAATATAATTTATTTGGCTTAGAATAGTTTTAAAATTACAAACGTATTGCAAAGACAGAAAGTCAGTACTTGTCGAAATATGAATCATTATACATAATACTTTCAAAATATACAAAAAATTAGAAAGATGTCTATCATCATCATCATCATAAAAATCATATTGTTTAGTTTACTAAGTTAACTTTGATGATATAACTAATATAGTTTTAACTTTTCAGTATTTCGAATTCAAGCGTGGAACAACCCTGAAATGTTTGCTGTTAAAATTTATCCATCGTGGCTAAAAACATTACACATGACAGCGCGATCACAAAAGAACCTGATATACCTCTTCCTAGATCCATAAGTTAGTTTGTTTGTCATTTTATATCACATCACATGACGCTTCTCTGAAAACTGTTTTTTAAAACATAATTCATGTTTAGGGACGAAGATCTAAGAAAGGACTTTTTAACTTGTTTTATGTCCCTCTCTTTAAAAATAAAATGTTATTGATATTAATATATTTATAGTCTGGCTTTCTCAGGACTAATATCAAACTGTTGTTCAAAATAAATAACTGTTCATTAAGTATACACTTCGTACGGGTATTCCAAGTCACTAAGTCACTAAGATACCAAACTACAATGTTTTTATTGACCTGCTGCTGACCAAGAAACAGATCGCGGTCCACAGGGAGCCCAAATGAGCTATTCGGGGTAACCAGCGCCCTTATAGCTTTACGAAAATAAAGTTGCAAGGATAAAAGACCCAGTGAAGAGCTCCAGAGTTAACCCAACTATTCCTGCTGACCCCTTCACATACGGCTGCGTTACATTAGACGCGCTCCCTTCAGTGGACCCAGTCGGAGTCAATATCGGGCACCTGGCAAATTTAGGCGGGATTCGAGCCCATTCCGGTCCCAAAAGAGACGCAGTTGGAGGAAGGACGTTTTTCTTAAAGTAACCAATGACGTTGCCGCCGGGCTTGTATTTGATAGATACAACAAGCCTCTTGTCTTTACGTACAGCAAAGGCAGCGCCGATCTGTTTAGAGTTTTTCCAAATCAGCTACAACATAACAGACAAGAAATGCTCTAGTAATACGATAACAATATTTGTACTATTTAAGCCTAGATATCCACATAAAAATTATCTTTATAACACTGAAGTGGCCACCCCTTAGCAGGCTGTGTTGTTGCAAAAACCAAACGTGAGTTACATTAATACAATGGTATTTAGTAACTCTCCGGAAATGGTATTTAGTTCAATTGTAAGACTCTCCGGACAAACCTAGGCCTTATCTATTTACTTCCATCTATTGCTTCACATGTTATTTACCTGAGTAAAATGTCCAGCCGCTACGACGTAGCGAGGATTGCTGTAATTATAATACTTTTCTTCGTTATGGAACCACCAAATAGCATCGCTGCAATACTCTCGCGGTTTGTACGCTGACAGGTACAAGTTCCCCGGATTCTTCGGACTGTGGTGAAACTTATTGTTTGCTGCAAGATAATCGGCCCAATCTTGTGCCTCTTTTTGAAGTTTCGTTGACCAGGTGACGGAAGGAACCTTAAAAGAACGAAATCGGTGATTGTATTGCAGTGTAGCCTGAGCGAATATAAACTCTAAACACCGCACAACACAAAATGCGTATATTGATTACCTATCGCTTAGCATTTCACTTAAGAACCCTAACTCCTGTATGTCACTAGTTGTTATTTTAGTTTAAGGATTGTGTACGATCTTCGCTTCTTCTACCGCAAGAATAACGCTAGCAGGTAGAATTTAATCTGGTATTTTAGAGCCCAGAGGAAACGGAAGCTAAGGGGACTAGTACGTTAATGAAAACTGAAAGAGTACATGCTATACATTTAACTTGAACTTTGTTTTTCTTCCAGCATGTGTTTTGTTCTCTGGGTGAAACAATGATCACAAAGGCCTTCAAACGACCTCTTCACTATGTAGCAAAAGATCCTTATTTTTTTCGATACTTATCGTCAAGAAGAGTACTTAATGATCTAGCTACTACACAGCTAATTAAAGGTGGCCTCAATGCAACATAAATTTCAACACAATTTAGTCTGGTTTTACTCTAATTCATTGTGAGAAGTCTCACTTAAATAAATTAGTTCATTTACCTGATGAAGTGTTCGGAAATAGTTGTGCCAGTAAAGACATTGATCTTTAAATGGCATAATATCTGAAATTAGGCAAAATTATATCAGTCGGTAGTAATTAAAAACTCAACAACAGCAAAATTAATCTTCTTGAGCAGATTACATTACTCATAGTTCATTGTAACTTACGTATAGAAATTATTTTAATATACGTTTTGCGTGTGAGTAAAGTCAAACTTATTTACCTCTGCATTGAATATTTGCTTCGATGCTGAGATTTAAACCGAAATTTGGCACGCTCCCTGTTTTGTTCACTGTCAGGGTTCGATAGTACAGTTTGAAGGTAGAAAACTAAACTCAGTAACTAAACTGCGTTAACGTCAGTTGAGAGCGTTCTTGAAGTTCGTCCGAGCGTTCTTGAAGTACCAAGAATCGTTTTAACAAACGTTTACCGCAATACTACATACACTTAGTCTGTTAGCTTACTAACAAATGCTCGAGGATAAAAAGTAGAGATAAAAAACCTAGTTTCCAAGCTACCGTAAAGTTCCAAATGTAACGACCCTCCTTACTTTCGGATCTAGCAATCTATTTATTTTGCTATAGGTACTTTTGGAGAATTACAACTTCAGGGGTGGGGAGGATCACTACTTTCGGGAGCTAAAATTGTACCAGCTGGGTCGATCTATCGATCCTTTCTGTTCTCAATATACATAGACAAGAAACGTACATATCTTGTTGAAGAGCTCGAGGATTTATGCTACACCAAACAACTAAACGCATAGCCTTGCTGTCATCTGACTCCTAACTAAACCTTTACCAACGAACAGAATACTGATGGGAGATAGAAACTAGCTAGGAAACTGGATCTAGGACAGATGATAGACAAACATGAAGGGGTAATAAATCGCGAGGGCAGATATCAGACAGGTTGTGCACCTCACCTCGCCCTCCAATCCCCCCCCNTTTAATAAGTCATAGTAAATGACATGGAGAAATTCAGTGGTAAAAGAAACGAAAAGGGCTGGATAGAACTGGAGACCGATTCAACGGTGGGCGTTGAATTTCAACCGAAATTGAAACTGAATAACGAAGCATCATGATCAACTCACAGCTCGATTTCAGGCGACAAAGACTAGCAAAATATTACAAACGACCTGCACGTCTTTAAAAATAGTGCCGATACAGAAGGTAAGACAAGATATCTATATACCTTCAGATCTCACCAGAAGGGCAATAAGGAAGCTCACCAAGAATATGACTTTCATAGTTGCTGAGCCACAGGAAGAAGTTTTCACAGCGAATGCTCTATATTCATAGAACTCAACTATTTATTTCTTTGTTACTGACGGGTTTTTTTATAACTGAATGACGTAACTGTCGAATACTGCATGACAAGTTATATCATAAATAAGCTTCTTACACCAAAAATATGTCCTTCCGCTGTACAGGAAAATCTTCCCAGTGATATTTAAATATTGGTCTTGAAAATGATACATAATTACCAAGAAACTTAAGAAAGAATTCTCTATGATTTCTATGGTATTATGCTTTAAAACGCCACTTGAGTAGTTTCTTTATTTGCTGGATATCATGAACGAGCCAAAATAAAGACAATTTTCTCTCAAAACATCGCGGATTCGGTTTCAGGAGACATGATACCTAAAGGTCGTCAAACACGTCGTCTCTAGAGGAACTGATATCCACTCGCTGGATCGAAGTCAAAGAAGTGTCAAGTCTCGAATAACCAAGTTATAAACAAAATATTTTTGTCGCGTCTCCATCATCCTGTGGAAAAAGCCCGTTTTCCATACAATCATTCGATCGCTGGCCGATATGAGAACACTGAAACTATTAGCCAAGTCCCTACTTTAACGTTAGTTAGCTCTCTTCAGATCATATGCGTTACAATATTGACAATATTATTCTTATAAGTTTTCAAAGACTGAATATCATATATTGGTTTTCGTTTTCAGTTTGATCGCACGCTGGGATCGTTATTTCGCTATAGCGACCGTTATTTTCGATAGTCGGCAGCGAACGCCAATGATAACAAATGGGCGAAATGTTAGTACGGAGTTGTCATGTATTTAGCTTCTAAATTATCGAGAACTGGCAACATGTTTACACTTTATTGAACTGTTTGTGTCAACCATGGTGATGCCAAATAGTGTAAGCACTGAGAAACCAGCATAGTTTTAGTTTCTGACGACGTTTACTTTTAAAATACAAAACTGCCAACGAGTCTCCTCCATCCACTGGTACACATTTTGTTCAGAGAAGCGCCACACCTAACTCTGCATCAAGACTGACAGTTTTGATGAAGAGTTAAGTGCAGGTAGACTGATGTCTTTGTGCAAATTTCCTTATGTATATGCGGTTTGGTACCCTGCGAGCAGAGGTCCCTTCGATCTGCTCGCAGGTAGCGGTCTGGCTTTCCAAAATGTTCGTTCCTAATCTCTAAGGGAGAAGCCCTGGGAACGAGGAGGAGGTCATTTTACACATTGTGACCTTTCTACATGTCTGTATTTTTATCGCAGCGAAAAATATACGCCCAGGAAAAAGGAAACGCGCAACACACCATCCCAAGGAAGAAAAGACTTAATTTTTCTAGTCTTTCTAGAGTTAGCGACCCTCTATTTTTAACGTCTCCAGGATATTGAACAGCTAGGGAGGGGTACCCATAATGTCCTATACACGCAAAGCACGCGAACGCGAACACAACCAGTATTACATAACTGACTTTTGATAATGAATATTAAAATAATAAAACTACACCTTTATTTGTATTTAATCTCGAAACTTCAGCTAATACCTGTACTTGATAATGGAGTCAAGATGACTTCGAAACGTCGTAGTTTTATTCTTTTAATATTCATCATCAAATGTATTTCGAAATGTTTTCGGTCATTTGACATAGTACTGCCTTTAAAACAGCGTTCGCAATCTTCTGAGTATCGGATTTCTTTTTCACTATTTTCACGCAGTATAGTGATAGAGTAAAAGGGATATCCTTCCATTATACCTCAATAAAACTAGTCTTTCTTCGTGTATTATCTCACAAACATTTTAATGACTATTCTGTCACCTGCTAAACTACGCTCGCAAATCCTGAGTTTTGTGCGAGTTCACTTAAAATATTTATGTTCCTCGACTGACTGAATACACTTAGTTCGACTTACGTAAATTGAAGGAGTACTATCTTCTTTCGACCTTTTTCGAGTTTTGGAAGTAGTCCGCTGTGAACCAAAAGCGGGCCGACTGTATAGACTGTAAAGGATTTGAGTTTCGCTCGCAAATGTGTTTTCAGCTTGTTTTCAAATGTCTCCGTGGCTTTCCCAATATAAATTTTGGAGCGTTTGGTTGATTTTCATGGATAATTTAACTGACTATGTACATTGATCGGTCCAGCTTTGTTTTGCTTTATTTACTATGTCAGATCAGAGAATGCAACGAAAGGAGCCTGTTTCGCGTACGTATTAACTTAAATTTTGTGCCTCTTCAGCCATAAGGTCTTAAATATATCGACAAAAGACGAAAACTTGCATCGAAGGGTTAGCGGTTTGCTCTCAGATATGTGCCGTCGAGTACTAAGCATACGCAATATAACTATGGAACAGCTTATTATTGCGCAGCACAAAGTGGCAAAGTATACAATCGATGAAACAGACATACCTGTACAAGTTGCCGGGACAGCAACAAGGAGAATCGCAACGCTAAGGATCTTCATAACTCACTAAGTTGTCGACCTCTGCAGCAAAAAAAATGAACGGTATTGCAATGGTAACTAATCAGGTTTCGATCAAATTGAGTTGCGTTATGTTGTATATATAAGGATTAACATATGCATATGACCAACAAATATTCGTCGTATTTTAGTGACGTCGCTCGTAATAGATATTATTGACACGTGGTTGGAAAGTGCCTTGACACCTTTCATCAGCGGTCATCAAGTAAACTGGAAAAAAAATGTTCGAAAGATGCTTTTCTTGCTTTTGCAAATCTCTCTCCTAAAAATGTAAAATTGTTTAACATACATCTAAACGCCGTTACATTTCTGACCCTTTCTTTGTAGTATGGTATACCTCCAAAATGGTCGAAATGATTTCATTTCAGACACAAAACTGAACGTTCGATATCATGAAATCACTCTTTTAAAAAAATATGTGTGGAATCGATTTCCTATTTCCTGTGCGTAAAATCTGAAGAAGATGGGTGGATAAATACGGCAACGGAAACTTGAGGTCAAGTAGCTCAAATGTCACGTCCGCGTCAGAAATGCAAAGTAGGATCCTCTAAAGAACTCTCGATGCTGACAGAAGCATATCACCTCGATTCGATGTATAGATGGTTTTCACTGTCACGTAACGAAAAAATAAATCGAAAACTGTTCAGTGGATAAAGTCAAGAAATTTTCATATTATAGGAGACAGGTAAAGAAGACACTTCTCCAAGTTTTGGGTCTCTGCGTTTTCCCAAACTTCAGATATTCGTCGGAATGTTTTGCGCCAATTTACAGAGCCCAGTATGGAGCCGCCGTGTTGGTGGAGCTCTGTGCTCCACCAATATGGCGGCCGGACATCTTCAACTTCAACTTCAACTTTTAACTTCAACTTTATTGCTGCCATCACCTATTACAATATATACTATAAATCGCCTAATATTACTATTTTGTTGATACAAAACAAGTGATGAGGGAGTCTATAGAAAAGCAAAAAAACAAAAATGCTTGAAATTATAGATCCCTAATTTGACATTTATCAACTAACTGATAATAATTATCAAACTTAAAACAACTCGAATATCTTATGAAATAATCAACGAAGCAATAAGTATCAAAAGCTTATTTTATAAAAGGGGTATTTTGCCACTGCTGCTATCTTTGTCTATTATAGATCTTTTTATGTTATTCTTAAATATATTGAAAGATTTGATTTTTCGTGTTTTAATGTCTATACTATTCCATATTTTTGGACCTTGAAAGGCCAAGGAGTATTGGCCAAGTGTAGTTGATTTACGTGGGAGATGACAGTCATCTGCATGTCGTGTACCATAACTATGTATTTGATAATTTGCTGAAAAGATGTCTGACAAATTTTTGATTATTGTAAAACTTGAACATAAAAAATGAAATTTCTATCTAGAACTTACTTTGGCTATCTAGGCAACTGATTATCTGAACCGAACCAAAAAACATTTACAAAAGCACTTTTCCTAAAACTTTGTCCTAAAAAGGCTAAAAGTCACTAGATAAGTGTATATTTTCCCACAAACACGATCGGAGCGGTATGTCACGCACCACCATAACTCTGAACTTCAAAAGGCGCTGGTTTTCAAACAAAGCATGCTATTGGTCTTAAAAGTCGTAAACAGATATAAGTTTAGATCCCCTTATGCCTTATGAGGAAAAAAATTTTCGTGGCTCTTTAGTTTTGGATTTTGGAATTTGATGACCTCACGTGAAAACGATCTATAAATTCTCCATTATGTAGGAAAATGCAAGATAGTAGGTTATGAGAAAATGATGTCAAATCACGGTTTGTTTATGGTGTCAACGTAAAAACATGGCAAATATATGAGATAGCCTTTTGATTGTCGTGAAAACTGTTAAAGAGAGATGAGGCTATAATTTCTCAAGCTCTTGCATTATCATTTATTGAAATGTATGCAGCCCATTTAGCGAAAACCACAATTTACGAGTGAAAAGAGGAGCGCGCGCTGTCACGCGCGAAACGTGAGCACGAAATGCGAGTTCCCACGCGGGCAGTAAATGGACGGAAAGAGAACCGGAGCAACAAATATAGAAATTTCCTCTTGCGTTATTTTAATTTTTCCGTGGCCTGCGAACAGGCTCTTCGTGGGGAAAAAACTAAGCTGCCACCCGTGGAGATTTGAGGCGAATGTGCATGACTGGTCGCTTCTGGATATCAAAGAAACGTCATTCAAAAAGTGTCGTGTTACTAATTGAATTATTAATTTCTCTTATCACAGCGAACAACCATTCAGACCCATTCAATCAGTTTGTTCCGTCCGGTAATGAAGGCAATTATTCGATTATCCGCCAAAACTAAAGTGGAAATTCAAACGTCTTTCTTGACAATTTTTTTTTGACTGGGAGGTCAAAAAGTGCGATCGTTTTCTAAAGTAAATTACACATTTTTTGAAAGGAATTTTAGATTCCTGCCATCGACAAAAACAAGGGAAATGACGACCTTCGACAAAATCGTATACAATAAACGGGTCTGTTCACTTGTGTAGTAGTACCACTCGTGGTAACACGAGTGCTAAAACATTCACTGGAAATTCCCCCTGTGACTGCAAGTAGGTTCACATTGTCCGTATTTAAATAACAGAACATGTTGGAAGGCGTCATCGGGTATTGAAAGATAATCAACGGAAGCTTAAGGTGATTTTTGGCTTGTAAGTCCACATTCTTTTACTTAACAATACTAATTGTAATAATACGCTTCAACTAACCTTCAGTGGTGTTAAACGCAGCTTTGGGAAGACTTGTTCCAAGGGACGTAACTAAGTCAATAAGTCGAGAGGAAAAACTCCTAGTCGTGCAAGGTACGGTCAGAGTCGTATGTCACACATTCTCTTTTTGTCACGCAAAGTGCATGTAATCCTGTTACGCACATCACATCTTGAAATCCTCTGGAAAGTATCTTTGATAAATAAACAGTTTGGCTTTCTGTTTCTTTACTCAGTGCTTCGCATTTAGATTTCCCTTCTCTTCTTCAATCTTTTCTGGGTTTATTTCCCCTGGTGCGAAAGTTTCATACATAGTATAACTTCCGGTCGAGTGACTTTTCTAGTTTCGGTCTTCTTTGAAGACCCTTTGAAGACGTCAATCTTGTTTTGGCCCACTAACGTGATGTGTCACTGAAGCGCGTTAACTAGTGAAACAATCTTAGCTTGGACTGGAGCAAAAACGGATCAGAAAGCTGGCATACGAATGGAGAAAGCAGACCAGAAAATAGGTAAGATTTCTAGACCGAGGCAGTGACTGGTGTTCATTGAGTTTCAGTTGTCAGCGCTTTAATAGGTCTGTTTGTGGACTGTTTATGCTCCCTGCACGTATACAATTTCGAGCGCGCCCATGAATATTACGATTCCTTGAGATCCATTGATCCTCTCGTGTGGCTCTTCCATGAAACGTTGGATTGATCAGATAAAGAAGGGTGGAACCTGTACAAAGCTTATTAATCATCACAATAAATGCATAATTGGGGATTTCCCCCACCGAAGTTTGAATAGGACTGGACGAAGAACTTCATCTACATGTATCGTAGTTCAAGAACAGCATTTTCTCAGTTTGTCAAGTTGAATTCGTCGACCGTCGCTAAGTGTAACTGGTTCACAGGTGTGTGATCCTATAGTAAGCGGTATAAAAACTGTAAAATCGCAATTTTTTTTGGAATTGCAAAAGAGGGCATGAATCATTCAATACTATTTGAACCCTCAGTCACAAGACATTTGATGTCCCACTGCGATGAGTGTGCAAGCGTCCGATTTACATACTTCAGGTTCTAGGCATTATAACCAACGGAAAATGCCGATCAAATTCATGAGTCCTTTTCTAAAATTCAGTTCTGTTCACCGGCTTATCATCGAATAATAACTGCTTTTTAGCTGCTTAGTTCTCGGCGGGATGCTCATTTCAACTTCAAGAATCCTGTCGGAAGTTGCACGTGGGTCGTCTTGGTCCTTTCGACTTTGGAATGTACGCGTTGCAACCTACTAAAATCATAGCTACCGCCAGAGTTTCCTCGATGTTCAGTTCGTTTTCTTAATTTTTTGTACGTAAAAGCGAAGAGAGCAGCTTAGGATAACCCAGTCAAACCGTCTATCGAAAGATAATTGCGCTCATTTAACGTGACAGATCTGGGAACCCCAGCAATTCGCAGGAATGGGTGGCAGAGGCAATGATCTCAATTTCCCGCGTAACCTTTGTTATTTCTTTTTTCACCAAAAAAAAAAAAAGAGTGGTATTGTTTATTATCAGAATATTTCAATATTTCTTTGGCATTTTTGTACTTAATACTATGTGTCTACTTTTTTACCCATGCGATTCACTTTGATTTGAAAATGTTAATTTTACATTGTGTCTAGATACTCGACAGCCTGGAAGAGTTTTCAAAAAACTAGATACGCGGGGGACTGAATAAGAATCAGTGACAAGAATTATTTAGCTCTCAACTCTCGCTCTACCCCGGCCTTGCATACGCGCTTCCTTTTAAAACTTGAAAAAAATGATGTGAAGAGACCATTATTTGCTTTGCAAAACTAACTTACTACAATTCTGCGATATCACTGCTGTTAAGGTTACACTCTCTGACTTTGAGTGCGATAACACTTTTTAGCTAGCTGTCACCGTGCGGAATTTTAATACGTCAGGATTTTGGTTCATGACTAAACACTCTGACAACACGACACAATCTAACGCCGGACACTGTTTTACAAACACCTCTCAGCAGATGAAAGAAGCTTCGTGGAACTGGGAAGTGCCGGGAGGACTGCACTTGGACCCAAACAGAGCAAACAAGGACACCGCCGTAAACGAACGGCGTTCACAGCCCGGCAGCTTGAGAAGATGCAGGCGGTGTTCCAGTGGAACAAATACCCGGGGGTAACTGTACGTGAGGCGTTGGCTACCGAACTGGGAATAAGTGAGGCGTCCGTACAGGTCAGACTTATTCACTCATTAAATTTCTTCAGACCGGGTCAATGTCATGCTTCCACCGGGTAACAAGGCCGCCCAAGCTCCCCATTTAATAAGATTAGTCAACCTACAGGATGTGTCCTTTCCCACGAAGGAGTAAGGAGGGTAAAGTGAGCCCCGGTGCCTTGATTAACCTACAGTCGAACCTCTATTACGCTACCGGCCAGTTATCAAAGTCCCGAAATTATTGTCGGTAAAATACTGTAAATAATACCCCTTTTAACCAGCGACCTCTATTAAGCGGCGGCAGCCATCTTTTGATCATCCCTATGAGGGTTTTTTTATTATCTTTACCCCTTTTAAACGGCCACCCAAAATTTAATACATGTAAATTAACTTTTTTTTGGAAAAGACGATGGTAGATAACAGTCCGAAACAGAGGATGACGAGTGATAAAAACATTCAAACACACGTTTATCATGATTGTCTTGAAGTGACACCATGTTTACTAAGAAATTAACCCGATGGTGAAAAATATTCAAGGTACACCAACCTCTATTAATTAACCGCTTAATAGAGGTTTGACCGTAGTACTACAATTTTGGTCACTCGAAATTTGGCTGAAGTATGATAAGTGGGACGATGTTGCTATTTTTCCAATGATTCTGTTCAAAACTAAATAGCTCCTCCGATTGTGAGTGAATGACTTAGGTATTTCGTGCCCCCTGATTCTTGGTCAGTACTGAGTATTAACCATAACAATCCTCAAACTGTAACCAAAAAAGTACGGACGGATGAATTTCGAACGTTTATCAAGGAATAGGTATCCTTAATCGTAGGTTAGCTGTTACGGCCCATGGTTTTGAATCGTTTCCACACAGAGATAGAAATTAAAGTTATTTTGATCCATTTGAAAATTATGCTAGAACGGCAATTGTTACCGTAGTATACTTTGCTCTCCCGCATTCAGCCTGAGTGGGCACGAAAACCAGTTTCTAAAATCTGAAGATAAATTTCTTTGTGCTGTTTAGGTCTGGTTTCAGAATCGCCGATCCAAATGGCGGAAAAGAGAACATAACAAGCGACCTATTCATCGTGAGAAGGAGTTTGACGCATGCTCGTTTTATACCCATAACACCGCTCAACGTAGCTGGATGCTTCCGCAGGCGCACAATTACTGCTCATGTCAAATAAATTCTCAAACGATGTTTGGTGCACCACCAGTTTCAGCTGCCCTCATGCCTGCAGGCTCGACTGTTCATAGCTCTCTTATCACTTGTGCTTCTTTCTACTCAAATCACGTGCAGCCGTATGATCAAGAGAAAGACAAAAAAGACGCAGAACGGATTGACCAAACACCTTTCATGTTAAAATCTGGTGACGCGTCTATGAAATATGTTGACCTTGACCAAGTTCCTAAAGTGAGGATTGAGGCTATTCAAAGACAGCGTTCAGCGGATGAAATTATTGGTGCAAATGGTCTTCTGTGTATGTGGGGGACATCTTCTACATCCATGTCAAGTAAATAGTTATTTAGTAGTGTTCGGTTTTAGTCTGTTTGCAAATGCTGAGCACATACAAATATTTGCGACAACTATATGTTCTCGTTTCCGTTATGGTTTGAAACTAAGTGTAATCCAAGCTTGTTTGCTGAGTCTAAGCCTTGCGTTGAAACTAGGGCCAGCTAGCCGACTTAGGGTTAAGGTTATTGCTGCTGGTAGTTAAGTTAACTGATTATATTCGTTTAGGATTTTTTCCTGGCATTACAATAGCTTACCTGAGCAAAAGAAATTCTGCTGTGCTGAACGATTTCCAAGTAGCTCAGTGGTGATTCAGGACACACGATAGCATTGCATCGTGTTCCTTCAGAGCTGCAGACTGATTTTATAATAACGTGAAGTGAACATATTGATTTTAGAGCGAGTTTGAAACTTCACTCTGCAGCAATTTCACCGGCAACCCGAAGCTAACATCATAATAAACAAAACCGTTCCAAATGGGGAATGCAAATTCTTACCTTAAGCTGTCATATACATCCATACTTGCCAAGCATCTGGTTGCATGGAAAGGACACATTTACTCTGTCTTTTTTATACCAGACTTCTTAAACATTATTCGTTCGTTCACGAGCATGATTTGTCTAGTGTAATGAAGAAAGCATACATTTGTCCCCGCTCTTGTTCGAAACGATGATCAACTCTGGTCAAGTAGAGAGAAGGAGGGTTGCTAACTAGGTCATAGTGTCTTTGATGCATAACTCTGTTCTCAGAAATAACATTTAGGCTAAGGGAGATTTTTAGCGATTTGTATGGAGAATTTGAATTTTGAGCTTGTGACTTACTGGTTAATCTCGATTCAGAGAAACGCGAATGTGGGCAGAGTATTTACATGAAAAAGCGTTTCGGTTAATTTTGTGATTGTTTGTCCCTCCATTTGAAATTATTACTTAAAGAACTGATAGAATTCAGTGAGATGATGGATCAGATATTTACTCAACTAAAAAGTAAGAGCATAAGTAATTACACTGTCGGATATTAACTGACTTCTAGAATTCCAACTGTGCATATTCCGAGTCAGTAGAGATAAGGTTGACTCAGGCGTAAAAGTCTGGCTTAAATCTCATGTGCAAAATGAGTTATTAGTGGTAGATACGAAAATAATTTTCTGCCACAATAGATTATTTTCTGATAACAGCGTTGGAACAAGTCAACAACTTAAAATAAGCGCCTGCAACAGCTCTCTTCTTGTCGAGCATAAGCTAACACTCGTTCATGTGAAAAGTAAATATGAACGCGGAAATAATATATTTTCTTCAAAGACTGTCCGCATTTGTTTACTTCGGGTTGTTTTATCTGTGTTTTAGTACTTACGGTAAAGGTTTCATCGCTAAGTGAACAACTAGATGACAACATCGACCATGCAGCTATGACCATGAGCTATTGATAGATTGTATTTTTTTTTTTTAATCATTTGCAACGGAGAGGTAAAATAAAGATCGTTTTCATTTTTCTAAGGTATATTGACTTTCTGATTATTCTTAACCTTGGCAGAATGCTAATTATCTTGATGATTAAGGGTTTAGTCCGGCATTAAGAAGAATTATGTCTTTTTGTACAAATTTCAAGGAAAGTACTATCCGAACTCCTAAAGTAAAAGCGACCAAAAGGAATCTTTGGCGAATAAATAGCTATGATTCTGAAAATGATTTATGGAATCATAAAATGAAGCTATAGACTAATGTTGAGTTCTCACGCGCTGTAAAAGGTCGTCTACATTAGCACCAAGCCTTACACCCAGAAATCAAATACAGCCGGCACAATGATCTACTTTGATAAAACGAACAAGAAAATGGTAATATATTAGCTTTTCTATCGACAGAGAGTTTTTTGTTTTTCTTTAAGAGGTCCTTACTTGAACATTTCAGAGCTAAGGCAATAAAATATAATAATTCTAAATTATCACGTTCTAGTTTTACTTAAGTATTTTTTTCCATTTTTAATTAGTTGATGGCAGAGCATATTTTGTATTTGTCGTCGTCTCCCATGGTAGCGCGAAACGGCACCAGATATTGAAAAATGTTTCGTGAGGAAAATCAATTCGAAACTTGCAGGAAACTCAGGGCTATTTTTGTGTGTTTTTTATTTATTTATTTATTTATTTATTTTTGCAATATCAATATATTGTCAAGCGATGACCAAAATAAAGAAAATCACCGTCATCTAGGAGATATTGCCTTAAGTTGTACAACGATTAGTGATTGGAGATATTTTGCCTAGATCGAGGTCTTGATTATGAAAGCAATATCGGTCCGTTTTGCACTAAGTTTGTTAGTGCCGAGGGCCCAATCTATAGATTCTGATAAATCATTCAAGTCAGATAAGTGACCACTTTGAAATGCCATGATAAACTAATGCTGAAATAAAGTGCACTGACAGTGCTGACAGCACTTCCCTAGCCTGGAGAACATCAATAAGCTTGCACGACACAAGAAAGACAGTTTTCGCGTAAAACGGATATCAAAGAAGCTTCTTGTCAGAAACGCGTTGATTTAAAACAAATAAGTCAACCATTTTTATGTAGTATCTCTTAAAAGCGTTAAAAGACGCAATTTGCTTGCTATAATAGCTCTCGAATCTCAGGCTAGCGCGATATCATGCACCTGCAAGCTAGAAATAAGTTCGGCTCTTGAATCGCAAAGCCTGGAGCCCGGAGAAAGATTGAAAAGCGAATCATTTTTATTCTTTTGCTGCTAAAAATTGATTTTGTACACCGCTGTGTTTGTTCCTTACCGACCGTAGATTTGCGGCACGAAATGTCCTTCTTTATGCATCCTGTAATTTACAATAAGATTCATATGTTTTTTAATATTTTCATAACTGCACTTATAATTGAAGGAAACGCGAGTATCTCAATTGACCACGAAAATCTAAGGCAGGACCGTTTGCATGCAAATAACCTAGCACTAGGCAATACACTGCTTCCAGAATACTATTAATTGTCATGATTATTGTTTCACAACGAACAATATACATGGTAAATTTGCAGAATTTCATGTTACCCCTTTTGTATACCGAAGCTTTTTGTCGCAGTTTTTTCAGTCAGCCCTTAAGATTTAATGAACTTCACGGGAGTTTTGTTCAGTGGAAATCCGCTGCAGAACAGTTCAGCTGAGTAAGCTTCTTAATGTTTGTCTGACTGCATTGTTTATTTCTCGCAAACGCCAACAATAAATGAGAGGGTTAAGGGACGAATTGACAAATATCAAGGTTGCCGTTAGTTCATAAGACAAGCGAGCTGCAAACGTCACGCCTTGAGCCTCAATCACGGCAACAGTGCAAAGATACGGTGTGAAACAAACTGCAAGGATACAATAAACCCAGAATGAACTTACTGCTTGTTTCTTTATGCTTTGCACATTCAGTTCTTCCTCCTCGTTCTTGTCAAAACCTTGTATTTGCGTACGCTGCACGTGAATTATTGACCGGTGATGCAGCACGATGCGATAAATGTTTATGTATGAAAAAGTAGCAATGGACAAGCTGATGGTGATAATTATGATGGCAACTATTTTTACAAGTTCGTGTTGCCATAACCATAGCGAGCCAAACGTTGAACTGAACAACCAAATCCCCACCAGAACCAAAACTGCGCGCTTGACGGTGATGAGTTCCCCGTATCTGAGGTGAAGTCGGAGGGCAAGATACCTGTCCATGCTTACGGCGGTCACAGTTAAAAGTGAAACGATACACAGCGCGTTTGCGGCAATTTCTACCGCTATTCCAGCGCCGCAAAAGAGCGGTGTGTTTCGTATTACCTTGGCCAAAATTTGACAGAAGAAGAGTGGATGAACGATAAAGCCAACACCGAGATCAGAAAGAGCCAAACCGAAAAGAAGCGCGCCGGACGGGGTTTGAAGGGATGGTGTCCTGCGAATAGCCATTAGGATTACCAGATTGGACGCTGCAGCAATAATGGAAAAAACAGCGTTGACCACGCAATTGAAGATGTACCAACCGGGTGCAAATTGTCCAAGATCAAAATGCGCCTTAGTAAAGTGAAAACAAATTTCTTCCTCAAGTCTTGAAGGCGCAGTCTTATCCCCAGTTTCGTTGACCAGTTGTAACTCCATGATCCGAAACTTTCATAAATTTTAAAAAACCTTTTGAACCTTGTCCAAACGCACCTAAATAGCATAGAATTTAGAAATCAAGAGAAGCCTATCTCGATCTTGAAATATAAGAGAGCTAAATCTGCCTCTAAAGATGTGTCAAAAGGAGTGAAAATGTTGAACGAAGCCTATTGAAATTTCCTGCGGTTTATATCTGACGAAACCAGAACTTGTCAGAGAACCGGTAAAAGTTGATAACGAATCAAATTTCGAAGCGAATAATGAAAGCGATTTTTTTCCATAGCAGCTGCAGGTATTTACGTGTTGATTGGAAACAATCCAGAAGGCAGCAATATCTGTCCTTTAATCTGTCAGTTGACTGTGGGGAAATAAACTCTGAATCAATCAGATGAATTTAAAAGGGACATATCAAATATGGTAAATTTCATATCGCGCGGAAACGGAAATTGAAATAAGGAATGCTTTGTTTGACAAGGGCATGAATAATCTTGACATTCAGCTTAAAATAGCTTTCTGGGATAAGGACTGAGGGGTGAAAAGCTCTCTTTTGATGAGAAAATTCGCAGGATAACCGAGCTGTGGTCGTAAATTATAAATTAGTTAAACTGGAAAAAAATCCTACATGTTGAGCCGCGGATTGTTACAGATTTCCGGCGAACATTGAAATTTTAATTATGAAGATAACACACTGAGTCAATTTCTTAGAAAATAACAATTTCACATCAAGGATAGATTGAAGGTGTATAACTGGCTACAGCAAAGGTATTATACGTCAAGTTCGTTAAACACGGTATATATAGGTTATTGTAATAGAGTAATTACGTTGTGTTTATAAGCAGTGTTAGCAGTCGTATTGTGAAGCATGTAGGTCTCTGTAAGATTTTTTTTTCTGTTTGTGTTTTGCAATAAATTAAAAAAAAAAACGTTCGTAAAACACAAGAACGAAGTAGTCTAGCAGGCATAAGAAATGAAACAGTCAACTGTATGCTCATTCAAAATTGGGCTGTGAACTCGAGGATTATGTCAGCAGAGCTGATAATCAAACCCTCAGGNATGAAAAAGCGTTTCGGTTAATTTTGTGATTGTTTGTCCCTCCATTTGAAATTATTACTTAAAGAACTGATAGAATTCAGTGAGATGATGGATCAGATATTTACTCAACTAAAAAGTAAGAGCATAAGTAATTACACTGTCGGATATTAACTGACTTCTAGAATTCCAACTGTGCATATTCCGAGTCAGTAGAGATAAGGTTGACTCAGGCGTAAAAGTCTGGCTTAAATCTCATGTGCAAAATGAGTTATTAGTGGTAGATACGAAAATAATTTTCTGCCACAATAGATTATTTTCTGATAACAGCGTTGGAACAAGTCAACAACTTAAAATAAGCGCCTGCAACAGCTCTCTTCTTGTCGAGCATAAGCTAACACTCGTTCATGTGAAAAGTAAATATGAACGCGGAAATAATATATTTTCTTCAAAGACTGTCCGCATTTGTTTACTTCGGGTTGTTTTATCTGTGTTTTAGTACTTACGGTAAAGGTTTCATCGCTAAGTGAACAACTAGATGACAACATCGACCATGCAGCTATGACCATGAGCTATTGATAGATTGTATTTTTTTTTTTTAATCATTTGCAACGGAGAGGTAAAATAAAGATCGTTTTCATTTTTCTAAGGTATATTGACTTTCTGATTATTCTTAACCTTGGCAGAATGCTAATTATCTTGATGATTAAGGGTTTAGTCCGGCATTAAGAAGAATTATGTCTTTTTGTACAAATTTCAAGGAAAGTACTATCCGAACTCCTAAAGTAAAAGCGACCAAAAGGAATCTTTGGCGAATAAATAGCTATGATTCTGAAAATGATTTATGGAATCATAAAATGAAGCTATAGACTAATGTTGAGTTCTCACGCGCTGTAAAAGGTCGTCTACATTAGCACCAAGCCTTACACCCAGAAATCAAATACAGCCGGCACAATGATCTACTTTGATAAAACGAACAAGAAAATGGTAATATATTAGCTTTTCTATCGACAGAGAGTTTTTTGTTTTTCTTTAAGAGGTCCTTACTTGAACATTTCAGAGCTAAGGCAATAAAATATAATAATTCTAAATTATCACGTTCTAGTTTTACTTAAGTATTTTTTTCCATTTTTAATTAGTTGATGGCAGAGCATATTTTGTATTTGTCGTCGTCTCCCATGGTAGCGCGAAACGGCACCAGATATTGAAAAATGTTTCGTGAGGAAAATCAATTCGAAACTTGCAGGAAACTCAGGGCTATTTTTGTGTGTTTTTTATTTATTTATTTATTTATTTATTTTTGCAATATCAATATATTGTCAAGCGATGACCAAAATAAAGAAAATCACCGTCATCTAGGAGATATTGCCTTAAGTTGTACAACGATTAGTGATTGGAGATATTTTGCCTAGATCGAGGTCTTGATTATGAAAGCAATATCGGTCCGTTTTGCACTAAGTTTGTTAGTGCCGAGGGCCCAATCTATAGATTCTGATAAATCATTCAAGTCAGATAAGTGACCACTTTGAAATGCCATGATAAACTAATGCTGAAATAAAGTGCACTGACAGTGCTGACAGCACTTCCCTAGCCTGGAGAACATCAATAAGCTTGCACGACACAAGAAAGACAGTTTTCGCGTAAAACGGATATCAAAGAAGCTTCTTGTCAGAAACGCGTTGATTTAAAACAAATAAGTCAACCATTTTTATGTAGTATCTCTTAAAAGCGTTAAAAGACGCAATTTGCTTGCTATAATAGCTCTCGAATCTCAGGCTAGCGCGATATCATGCACCTGCAAGCTAGAAATAAGTTCGGCTCTTGAATCGCAAAGCCTGGAGCCCGGAGAAAGATTGAAAAGCGAATCATTTTTATTCTTTTGCTGCTAAAAATTGATTTTGTACACCGCTGTGTTTGTTCCTTACCGACCGTAGATTTGCGGCACGAAATGTCCTTCTTTATGCATCCTGTAATTTACAATAAGATTCATATGTTTTTTAATATTTTCATAACTGCACTTATAATTGAAGGAAACGCGAGTATCTCAATTGACCACGAAAATCTAAGGCAGGACCGTTTGCATGCAAATAACCTAGCACTAGGCAATACACTGCTTCCAGAATACTATTAATTGTCATGATTATTGTTTCACAACGAACAATATACATGGTAAATTTGCAGAATTTCATGTTACCCCTTTTGTATACCGAAGCTTTTTGTCGCAGTTTTTTCAGTCAGCCCTTAAGATTTAATGAACTTCACGGGAGTTTTGTTCAGTGGAAATCCGCTGCAGAACAGTTCAGCTGAGTAAGCTTCTTAATGTTTGTCTGACTGCATTGTTTATTTCTCGCAAACGCCAACAATAAATGAGAGGGTTAAGGGACGAATTGACAAATATCAAGGTTGCCGTTAGTTCATAAGACAAGCGAGCTGCAAACGTCACGCCTTGAGCCTCAATCACGGCAACAGTGCAAAGATACGGTGTGAAACAAACTGCAAGGATACAATAAACCCAGAATGAACTTACTGCTTGTTTCTTTATGCTTTGCACATTCAGTTCTTCCTCCTCGTTCTTGTCAAAACCTTGTATTTGCGTACGCTGCACGTGAATTATTGACCGGTGATGCAGCACGATGCGATAAATGTTTATGTATGAAAAAGTAGCAATGGACAAGCTGATGGTGATAATTATGATGGCAACTATTTTTACAAGTTCGTGTTGCCATAACCATAGCGAGCCAAACGTTGAACTGAACAACCAAATCCCCACCAGAACCAAAACTGCGCGCTTGACGGTGATGAGTTCCCCGTATCTGAGGTGAAGTCGGAGGGCAAGATACCTGTCCATGCTTACGGCGGTCACAGTTAAAAGTGAAACGATACACAGCGCGTTTGCGGCAATTTCTACCGCTATTCCAGCGCCGCAAAAGAGCGGTGTGTTTCGTATTACCTTGGCCAAAATTTGACAGAAGAAGAGTGGATGAACGATAAAGCCAACACCGAGATCAGAAAGAGCCAAACCGAAAAGAAGCGCGCCGGACGGGGTTTGAAGGGATGGTGTCCTGCGAATAGCCATTAGGATTACCAGATTGGACGCTGCAGCAATAATGGAAAAAACAGCGTTGACCACGCAATTGAAGATGTACCAACCGGGTGCAAATTGTCCAAGATCAAAATGCGCCTTAGTAAAGTGAAAACAAATTTCTTCCTCAAGTCTTGAAGGCGCAGTCTTATCCCCAGTTTCGTTGACCAGTTGTAACTCCATGATCCGAAACTTTCATAAATTTTAAAAAACCTTTTGAACCTTGTCCAAACGCACCTAAATAGCATAGAATTTAGAAATCAAGAGAAGCCTATCTCGATCTTGAAATATAAGAGAGCTAAATCTGCCTCTAAAGATGTGTCAAAAGGAGTGAAAATGTTGAACGAAGCCTATTGAAATTTCCTGCGGTTTATATCTGACGAAACCAGAACTTGTCAGAGAACCGGTAAAAGTTGATAACGAATCAAATTTCGAAGCGAATAATGAAAGCGATTTTTTTCCATAGCAGCTGCAGGTATTTACGTGTTGATTGGAAACAATCCAGAAGGCAGCAATATCTGTCCTTTAATCTGTCAGTTGACTGTGGGGAAATAAACTCTGAATCAATCAGATGAATTTAAAAGGGACATATCAAATATGGTAAATTTCATATCGCGCGGAAACGGAAATTGAAATAAGGAATGCTTTGTTTGACAAGGGCATGAATAATCTTGACATTCAGCTTAAAATAGCTTTCTGGGATAAGGACTGAGGGGTGAAAAGCTCTCTTTTGATGAGAAAATTCGCAGGATAACCGAGCTGTGGTCGTAAATTATAAATTAGTTAAACTGGAAAAAAATCCTACATGTTGAGCCGCGGATTGTTACAGATTTCCGGCGAACATTGAAATTTTAATTATGAAGATAACACACTGAGTCAATTTCTTAGAAAATAACAATTTCACATCAAGGATAGATTGAAGGTGTATAACTGGCTACAGCAAAGGTATTATACGTCAAGTTCGTTAAACACGGTATATATAGGTTATTGTAATAGAGTAATTACGTTGTGTTTATAAGCAGTGTTAGCAGTCGTATTGTGAAGCATGTAGGTCTCTGTAAGATTATTTTTTCTGTTTGTGTTTTGCAATAAATTAAAAAAAAAAACGTTCGTAAAACACAAGAACGAAGTAGTCTAGCAGGCATAAGAAATGAAACAGTCAACTGTATGCTCATTCAAAATTGGGCTGTGAACTCGAGGATTATGTCAGCAGAGCTGATAATCAAACCCTCAGGAAACTACACTCGTAAACGACAGAACTCAAAAGTTCCTAACCAGGCCTTATTCAGTTTCGCATTTGGTAAGTCCTAGTTGCGAAGGCTCTAGCAAAAAAGTCTGGAGGGAGTGTGAATCCGTGGCGTTGGGAATGGTGGCGCCTCGGCTTCACGCTCGTGCTGCAACGGTTTGGGGAGGCAACAGAGCGTTTTTTTAACGATGCACAAAATGATATAAAAGCCGCGTGCGTCTGCTCCCAGCGCCAGGTTAAAGGCTAACTAACAATCGACACGCTAAGCCCGTTCGTAGTAAGAAAACAGAGGGTGAGTTTGCCTTCAGTTGCGCTCGATTACCAGCCGCTCTTCGGCAAAATTGTACAATAGAGAATTCGAGAGCGGCGAAAATCAAGCCTAGTCTACTACCAACAATTGGGTTCTGCCAATTTTTACATAAGAGATTTTTTTATGAGTCGGGCGGTTAATTGTATATGATTTGCATGAAGCACGAGTCGAAATTCAAGGGGTGAGAGAAATCCTACTGTCGAAGGTGCTTGCTCCGGCATACCTTTTTGCCTGCGGTCCTGAAGGACTTAGTGGAGCACAAATAAGCGAAATTGTTTTTTCATCTCATGATGAACAAAGAAACTTTAAAAACTCTAATTTAGTGAATATAACATGTCATGTTACGAATTCATATTTGAGATTACTGACTGCAACTTCGGCTTAGCGCTTTTGTTCAGTTCAGTTTGAAAGAAAGATCCAGACTGTTTACAGCCTCTTCGTTTTCCCAGATCATTGAAAGTGCAAAAAATTCGCGAGAGAAGGGTTCCTGGTCTTCCTGTCGCAAACCTTTCTAGTTGAGAAATGCAGGGGTTGTGAACACTCTAACAGTTTCGACAATGTGACAATAATTGAAGTGATTTGTTGATTTAAGTTGAGAGATCACAACTGAGAAGAACTTGTACTAAAAGCTTTATCGAACGTTCTCGTAATATCCGAATTGGATTACATAACCCCAACTGAAGGAAATGTTGATTGGCCAATGAAATTTAGCGTACTACCTTGGTTCAGGTCACGCGACTTTTAAAACACCTTTAATCGAAAAGGGATGTACTGATCAGAATTTAAGTGCAGGATAAACATTGAAAGAGCTTCCGTAAGAGTTCCGTCACTAACAAGGTTATTTACAGTAGATTGGATTGATTTTATATAAGATATCATAAGAACGCTGTCCTATGCATATGGCCGTCGCGTTTTCTAAATTGTTCCTGTGTTCTCAAATTCACCTTGCTAGTAGGTAAACCCTTAACTACGGTTATTTCCCGCATGTTTTTCTACAGGGGCTTATGTAAATTGCGATGTATTTTCTACTACTTTTAAGTGCTACGTTAGACGGTCGATGTTTTTTTTTTTTTTAATCAGCTCATAGTACAGTAGACTTTTGCTGAGGTGCCAGGCTTGTTTTGAAGTGTGCAAGGGTAAACATTCGAAAAAAAAAAACTAGTTGCACTATTTATTGTTTCCTGGACTGGAGCGATGACTTAGTTTGTTCAAAGAGGAAGTACTACCCAATCCAGACGCAGAAAATGTACCACTGATGGAGAAAAATAACCATGTGAGTTTGCTGAACTAACAACTGATATCACGACGTGTCCTTACATATTCTGAGCATATAGTTCTCTCTAACGTTCTGAGCATTTTCTTGTTGCCAACGTTCTCTTTCTTGCCAAGACTGGAAGCACAGCTTTACAGTTTTTCTCACCGCGTTGCGAATTTCTCTTAAGCGCCAACAATACACCAAAGGGTTCAATGAAGAGTTTATGAAAACCAAGATGGCAGTTATTTCATAGAGAAACCGCTTTGCGACTGAAAGTCCTGTCAGCGTTATCACGACCACCACACAAAAATATGGCAAATAGCATACGACAATTAAACAATAAACCCAGAAGGCACTGAGCGCGTGAGACTTGAAACTCGCCATGTTCGGCACTTGTTTGCTATTGTTCACCTGTTCCAGGGCACATTTGAGAATAACGTCATTATGATAGTGGCGTGAAACAACTCGATAAATTTGAAAATAAGAGAACGTAGCAGTCAAAAGACATATCACAATTGTTGTCATCACCTTGATTTTGACCATTTCAGGCTTGTAGAGCCACAGAGACCCAATAAACGCGCCAATAACCCAGATGATTCCAATCACAATTACTACTCGCTTTATCGTGACGAGTTCGTTGTATCTAAGGTGAAGTTGTAGAGCTAAATACCTGTCCAAGCTAACTGCAGTGACAGTCAGAAGGGAAATGATACACAAAGCGTTTGCAGTTATTTCAACTGTGATCCCAGCCCCGCAGAAAACGGCTTTGTTCCTTGTAACCTTGCCAAGCATTTGGGCGAAAAACAAAGGGTGGACAATTAACCCTACTCCAAGATCAGATAGCGCTAAGCTCAACAAAAGAGTAATGGACGGAGAATGTAAAGTGGGAGTCCTTCGAATGGCGGCGAGAACCAGTAAATTGGCAACCGTAGCTGTGACTGAAAAAATAGCATTCAACACGCAGCTAAAAATGTACCAACCGGGCGAAATGTCTCCAAGGTTGAAGTGAACGATGTTGAAATGATAACAAGAAAGGAAGTCTCTATCTATCCCGTACTTTTCTGTGGTGGTAATGTTTGTCACGTTTTGAATTAAAGATTCCATGCCTCTTGGATTCTCGCTAGTCATAGCTTAAAACTGATGTGTACGGCTTCTTCCCAAGCTACAGACATCTGAAGTAAACGCGGACTTATTAATAAGGTCTACTGCAGAATTGGATCAGTATCTTACGTCAGCGCGCTGACATAAGATAGGGAAAGGTTTCAAACCATGCATTATCCAATTTATGTGACTCGTGAAGTTTACCGCAGCCTCATCAATATTCTAGTTGCTGGGTCACTAAAAGAATAGCGAAAACAACGCATTGAATTAGTGATTTAACAGCCAATGGCCACACATAATATCCAATAGGCCTTTTATCAATTGCACGGTTGTGTATATAACTAACTCTGCTGGAGGGTACATTAGCTTTCAATATATAAGGTAAATTTTTTGAAACTTTCACATTTTCTTTATTTCAAAATTGAACGTCCGTTGCAGTTGTGGTGGGAAATGAAGATTTTTTCATTCATTATTTCACGTAGTGCATAACTAAACTATCCTAGCCCGACTTTAATTTAATCCAATATTTTCAATATCTTTAACATTTCAATAACATCAAGTGCATAGCCTTAATTCGAAGAGCGGCTTTAGATTTTGGCAGTTCACAATTTGCTTTGGCATCATCACAGATTGTATTTACTCATATAAGATTTTAATTCTTTTGGTGTTCTTCTGGTTCCCTATCTCTAACGCCTATGAATAGACTAAAAGATTCTCGCTTTGAAAAGCTAACAATTAATGTATCAGAAGATAGGTCTCACCTACTGCCAAGCTTGAGCTTGATTTTTAAAATTGACTTCACTGCTTAAATAATGAAATTTTGGCTTACATTTATCTACATGAGCGGGAAAATGATAACTAAGTTAAATGATTTCCTTCTTTAAAATCATTTGTTTAATTGATTTTTCTTCTATTTGCTTTTAATTTCCTTTAAAAGGAAATGCATTAGTACCTTAGCCTCGCATGGCTCATTTTCGTACGAAAAATCGCCAGAAAACGTGATCGATCTCCTAGAAAATTACTCTATACTTAAGACAGATATGAAATCAAGTGGAAAATAGCGTCTCTAAAAACACAATGAACAAGGATATGTCAAGAAGGGTTGTGATCAGTTTATCCGGGTCTGGATTACCGGATGACTGTCAGACCACGTTCAACTTTTTCTACGTCTTGCCTCTTATTTTATGGCTGGGATTCCTCGCACGTGATTATCAAGTACAAATACAGTTATATAGAGCAGGGATGAGAGGAGGGGGACTTCTTCTTCGCGTTTTTCCTCCCCTACTCCTTCCCCGTGTTTACCTTGCTATCATCCTTCCTGTCAGTAAATTTCATCCCGTCTCCCGTTTTTGAGCACAGATCTGGTTTCGCCTCTCATGTTTCGCAACAACAAGATATACAGAAAAAATCGTTATCGTTATTGCGTTCTTATCGCGTTTTCCCGTTCTCACGTTCCTCTCAGTTCGTTCCTAGAGAACGTCTTGGTAGTAACTGGTCGCGTGACCTCGAAAATTCTAATATGACATCGACGGTATTTACCTGTAGGCAGACGAATAATGCTTCTCAGAGGAACAATACTCGTCCAGATAGATACAGAAATAAGACGCATTAACGTTAAACTAATTGAATAGTTTACTGCGTCTAGAAGACGCACTATACGTTTCAGCTACATAACTCGTCTAACCATTACGAATTTTGTACGTCCCATATCCACCTAAACCAAGAGAGGATGCCTAAGCGTAGTTAATGTTAGACGCATTCCTTACCAATATTTTTCTGGATGGGGGAAGGTTCTACCGCTCTTTATTTTTTTTTTCATCATAACTGTTCGAGTAATAAATATTTTTCCCAACCAAGCTTGCCCGGCACCGTAGTGGGAGGCCGTCGGCCATTGGCCTTTTCTGTTTTGTCCTTGCTGCGCTGGATTTAATCTGTAAAGACCTTGTTGTCTTGTTATTCACCCAGGTGGCACTCGATCGGACCGGTTATAATACGATGAATATACTTCCTAGCTACTAGTTATGTGTTCTTTTACACGCAGTAAAGACAATGCTTTAAAAAATATATAGCAATGTTTATATACATTTTAAGTATATTTATATTTATTTGCCCATTCCCATTACACAGCAGTGATAGAATTAAAAGAAAAAGATAAGGTAAACAACTACATAAAGGCAGCTGTTTCAGCGCCTAGTTTAGAAATTATAATAGCATTTCCAGATCTTTCCATAGACGCGCTTTATTGCTAGAAACACAGAACTCCGGCCGTATTTATGAGAATACAAAATCATTACTTAAGTCGTTTTCTTCGTTTGAAATCTCTTGTGCAATCACATTTATCAGGGACCAAAATTTTGAGAACAAGCCAAACCATAGATTCGAGAAAAACAGGAATACGAGTGAATCAGGTTCAAATGCAAAATAGAACAAACATTATCACTATCTATTTGTTTGAATGAAATAAAATGGTCGCTTTCGCCTGATTATACTCAATTGAAATTGCTTGTCGGTTGCTTACGATAAAGAAAAGAACGAAATTAAAGCGCTCTTGACTGTATCCAGAATGGACGTGCATGAGTCCTGATTTCGTGCAAGCATAAATGACGTGGTATGACGTGGCAGGAAGCTTGTAACATGACGTCGTTGTCGTGCATGCGTGATTCTTTTGTAACCGCTATTCATATTGACACAGTCTCCTGTAGATGCGTCATGTTATGTTGATAGCTAGGTGGGAAAAAAAATTCAACTTACACTAAATAGGAATAAAGTTGCATCACACGCAGGAAAGATGATTTCCGCATCATATTCGGGTCCGCGAATTTAATGGTTAGAATTTAAAACAAAAATGTACAACTTTTTAATGTTTCTTAGAACGTTTCGAATGAAATGTGACTGATGATGACTATAACGTGCTGTAATGAGTCCGTAGGACGTGTTTAGAATACAGTTACAGCCTCTTAGTTTTACACAATCAAATTTAACAACTTTGATTAATGTGTGAAGTATGGAACACATAGCCATTACCCAAGCCATCGAGTGGCGCATTAACTATTGCTTTAAAACATTTCAGTTTATCGTCAATTTACAGTGATTAAGATGACCTTCCCGATCACTTCCCTACTACTGAGTTTTCTTCGGTTTGCAGTGTACGTAATCTACATCAGTTCTTCGAGCTACTTTCTCTTTAAAAAAGAGGAAGCAATTCCAGGGAAAATACATTTGTGTTAGTGTACGCAATAATTGCTTTTCAAAGGAAATCTGAGGTCAAGATAACCAGTACGAAGGTAGCAAAACACCGGGCTGAAGACGCAGTAAATAAAAAAGAAACGCGGATGAGACAGATTGCGACAGATTGCGGATGGTGAACTTGAAAACGTTAGGATAATGTTTTCAAGATTCGCCTATGATCAGTGAAGACGCTCCCCGTTAATAAACTTTTGTGAGCACTTGAACTTGACCTATTAGGAACGGTGTTTTATGCAAATTCTGCTTTAAGTCCGTTAACCGCTGATGTCCTTGAAACAAAAGCCTGACAGCCGGTGTAATTTAGAATTTCAGTTTTTATCTGACCACGATCTTCGACGTGATCGGAAATGATTTTGTTCCTTTAGTTGTTCGCTGATCTCTTTAATAAGTTCAAGAAAATTCGTGATACTTCCCGCAACCTGTCAGAACAATCGTGCTTATTTCAATTCTTTCAACCAATCAGGAACAAAACCAATCGTGACGTGCGTTTTCCCTGCGCTTATCGCCGGCCGGCGATGACATGTTTTCCCGCGCGTGGATGTGGTTGCACGCGTTTTTTGGTTTCGAGATCTAACTGGTTCATTGCATGCATGACTAGCCAGGTGTGATAATTTTGGTTTCACTTCTGTGACAGTTATAAGAAAACCACACAAAATATAATACCCTAAAAATAAAACCCATTGCTGTCTCCCCCTATACTTGAGTCGGTCGGTTGCAGTTTATCCCTAATGCAATCAAAGCTGCTGATAAGGTTAAAATATAAGAAAAAAATTCTAGTAGAAACATGACCGGCAGTATGCCTGATGAATAATCGTGTGTACAACACGTGGAGTTTCCCACAGTACATCTCACATGTTCCCATCCCCGCGGGCCTACTAGAGTTACTCCCCTATTTTATGAAGCCGAAGTAAATTTTTTCAACTTTTTTCCCTAATACTAATATGGCTGAAAGCCATGATAGATTAGAATTGTCTCTCCCCACGAATTTTAAATAACTCCGGATTAAAATTGACCATGGGCCGTCATTTCTGAGTGCAAGTTGATTGTTCTCTCTTAGTCTGAAACGGCACCCACAGTTTTGCGGTTTTTTTCACCGCATTACGAATATCTCGTAGACGCCAGCAATACACCAAAGGGTTGAGAGAAGAATTTATGAAAACCAGGACGGCAGTTATGTCGTAACAAAACCTCTTTGGAATTGAAGGTCCTGTCAGTGTTATCACAAACACGACACAAAAGTATGGCAAATAGCATAAAAGGATAAGGCAATAAACCAAGAAAGTACTGAGAGCGTGAGACTTGAAACTCGCCATGTTTGCCGTCTGTTCACGAATGTTCTCATTCCGTTCCACTGCACACTTCAAAGTCAGTTCACTATGTATAACCCGCGAGACCGCGAGATAAATTTGAACATAAGAGAAGGCAGCGGCTAAAAGGCATAGCACTATTATGATCATTACGTTGTATTTCACCGTCTCGGGTGTGTAAAGCCATAACGTACCAGAAAACGCACCGATTAACCAGATGATTCCAATGCTGATTATCGCTCGCTTGATCGTGACGAGTTCTTTGTATCTAAGGTGAAGTCGCAGCGCCAAATACCTGTCCAAACTGACTGCAGTAACAGTCAGGAGGGAAATGATACACAGAGCGTTTGCGATTACTTCGACAGCGATTCCAGCCTCGCAGAAGACTTCTCTGTTCCGTACAAGTTTTCCAATTATCAGTGAGAAATACAGTGGATGAACAAGTAAGCCAACTCCTAGGTCGGCGAGCGCCAAACCAAACAGAAGCGTGTTGGACGGAGAATGCAGCGAGGGAGTCCTGCGTATCGCAGCGAGAACTAACAAATTGGCAACTGTTGCAGTGATCGAAAAGACCGCGCTCAACGCACAGCTGAGAATATACCAGCCGTGCCAAATATCTCCAATATTGAAGTCAGTGACAGTAAAATGATAACAAGAGAAAACTTCGTTTTTCACTTTTATCGCGTGTGTTTCATCGACGGTGGCATCTGAAGCGTTTTCTTTCAATACGTCCATCTTCTCGGGTTCAATTCTCGACAAGTACTGGCTTATTTCCCCAGTTGGCCCACATTAATTAAGGGCCCTTTCACAAAATCACACATCAAGTAGCAATGAAATATTATTGGCAGGTTCTCAGAATAAATTTAAATTTCCAAGTTGCTGGGCTACTGAAAAGAAAGTAAAATGCCGAATCGAGTTTGACATACAGAATTCAATGGGTGCATTTTTACATTTATCATATAAGGCACCTTAAATAATTCTCGCTTGATTTGAATGCGGTATGTACGTAAACATGATTAATATGTACGGAAAGACACGTATAGTGTCTCAATTGTAAAGTCGACATGCGCTCCAAACCAGCAGGTTGTTGTAGGCTTTTGACAGTACTAACGTCAATTCATTTTTTTGTTTGTTGACAATAAGCGATTATGATTTTTTCGTTTCCGCTGCTTTTTTAAAAGAGGTTCTGAGACGTCCTATTATCTGTTTAGCATTTTAAGACAATTATAATGTCATTAACGATCTCGGGCTACAAATTACAGATCCAAAACAAAATTATAAAGGAAATTAGGACAGCATGTATAAATCTCCAGCTGTCACTTTCCCAAGCATGCATTTTTAAAGCTTAATGCACGTTTCCGTGGTTTTAAGAAAACCCTACTGACTGAACTGCATTTTAATCACGAAAAAAGACAGAAATAAAAAATATACATTGAGGCGTATATAAAAAGTAACACCGCCAAGGCTAGTGAGTAAGTTCTCTTGCTACACGCTGGTTGGTTTTGAGGTTTTCTTTTGTGTCACGCTCGACGGAACGCCACTGCTGCAGGCAACGGCTGATTAAACTCTCCATTGAATGTCTAATTTCTTGGAAAACGCTTCCTTTAATTTTAGAGTTAATGATAATGTAGTGCGATTGTACAGATCTTGTACCGTGAATCTATTTCCACTACACCACGAAAATAGACCACACTTTGATTAGGAAATAATTCTGTTTCCTTCCTTTCTCGCAGAGGAGACAAACTCGTTCTCTCGTGTTCTCGACCTATCGTCTTTTTAACTTGAATTAATTACCTTCTCTCGTAGTCTTCCAAATTCCCTCGCGGCTTTGTCGACAAACCGAAAAAAGCTATTCCTAGATGATTTATCATTATCGCTACGACCCCGTGGTTACTTTCCGATTCAGCAGCTTTTTCCTATTACCGAGCTGAGGCGCAAAATGGAAGAAGGTTACACTTTTGGGTGGTTACAACGTGCCAGCAATACATATCGACCGCCGGGTCAACTTTATAAAATCGTGGCTTAATATTCTATATAAAAATTTAGAGGAATTTTTAGGCGTCCTTATGGCAGACTAGCCACTGTTATATATTGATAAGTTTTTATATTATCGCAGTTAGACTGTATTGTGAGTCGCTGGACTAAAGACCGATGGAGTCAATCTCCTTTATACATACAGGCGGACACCGTCAAAGTCTATTTTCGAAGGGTCGTTGCTTTAGGGAAGTCAAAACTTTCAGGACTAACATGTACTAACAATCGTACAATCTTACGGTTACTTTCGGAAGCCTTTACTTCAGGAACTTAATTTCCGGTAGAAAACATCAAGCAGTAAGTTAACAAACAGTAAACAAATGCTTGCCAATAATACTCGCCCTACTTTACTAATTATAATGCAGGCAGATGTAGTTAATTTTATTTTGTCTTTTGCTCATAAATATTTATACTTATTCTTTTCCTCTAAAATCAACTTATAAGATTCTTTTCCGCCTTTAAATTCGTACTAGATTAATCTGGGGAGGATATTTAAACAAGGATAGCAGAGGATAAATGTAGGAACACAAGCGACAAAGACGGAATGTTTTTAATAAACTTTCCGACGTCCTTTTCTGACGGTCGCAGTTGTTGAGAAGTTAATTAAAACTATGAGCGAGTTGCGCCTTATTAAGGCGCAACTCGCTCATAGCTTTAATTAAATTGATTTTTTTGGAGTGTGTCCATGAGCTGAAACCAGGCAGGAGGTGATACAGCTCAAATAACCGATTTTGCCCAAACTTGGCGCAAATGTTGAGTTTGGAGAGTAAATGATTATGGCAAAAACTTAGGTCAAAATATTTTATTCCCTTCAAGTTAGGAGGAACCCCTCCAAAAATGGCCGTTTGTCACTAATTTATGCATATTTAACTAGCTGTCTTTGATTTAGTATTTCTACAACAAGAAAGGCCATGTGAAAATGATATTCACTGGATCATGTTCTCCTATTATATCACTGCTGCGATCACTGCTGTTTTAACATACAGATTGCTTTTAAAATCCATCACAAAACACTCCGCCGACCACTCCGCCATCTTTAACTTAGACGTTGAAAAGTCAGCGGTTATCTTCTTTTAACTTGGTACATACGTCGTGTATGGTGATACAAATTGTACCGCTTAATATCGTCAAAGATGGCGGAATGCTCTGTGGTGAGCTTTGAAAGAAATCTGTATGCTATGACACTTACAGAAGTGGTGGCTCTTCCTGGATTTTAAACGGCCTTTTGAGTAGCTTTCCCGGCAAATGTTGATATCTCTGATGACGAAAGCGGGATGGCAATGGATATTCCCTTTAAACCTCGGGTCGAAGCAACGGAACAGATGACACAAAACTGTACATTTCGCAATCCAAAAAATCAACGAGAGCGCAAAATCTCGGCTAAGTGACATGTATGTAGTAGTTATTTCTTGTTTCCATTCTATTTTACGCCTGAAAACATAAGTTGAGGGAACTTATGCGTTGAATCTTCTTCTGCCGCGTTTTATCGATATCGTAAGCATGCCACAAAATGTAGCTCTGAAAATATATGAAAGAAATGTCTCAAGTCCTTCTTTTCGCCGATGTTATACTGGAAACTCATAGGAAAATAGTTAGGTAGATATTTCTTGTTGATTTGGAGTTAGGTTAAGACAGGAAAATGGCTTTCAGTTGTGTCTTAGTGAATGTTCATGAAATGGCCAAAAATCGTAAAGTCCTATGTAAACAGTATGCCAGCACAGAAAAAATATTGAAGTCCTCAAACATTTTATGACTTTTTTGACAACATTAGTGACTGCTCTCACTATTCATGTTAGGATAATGTGTATTTCCTGTTGCCCAGTGCAGGCATTTACCATCAATTAAAGTCTATTGACAACACTACGAAATATGCACCTTACTTAAGATGGAGTCACGGAAGGAATCAAATTGTATATAGTTCAAATGAATATCTCTGCTCTGAGACTGATAATAGTAGAACATGATCAGTGGATTTTATTTTCACATGGCCTTTCTTGTTTCAAAAATACGTAATCAAAGACAGCTAATTAAATATGCATAAATTAGTGACAAATGGCCATTTCTGGAATAAAATGTTTTGACCTAATTTTTTGCCATGATCATTTACTCACCAAACCCAATATTTGTGTCAAGTTTGGGCGAAATCGGTGATTTGAGCTGTATCATCTCCTGCCTGGTTCTGCCCCTCAGGTTCTGCCTGGTTTTCTCATGGACACACTCTTAAGCGTTTAAGGCTGGTTTCCATATGATCGCAGACGATCGCAGACGATCGCGGATCGCAAATCGCAGATCGCAGACGATCGCAAAGAGAGTTGTTTCCATATA